TGACAATACTGGGCTTTGGCCACATGTAGCTTGTAGCTTGTGTCTGAGGGGAAAACAGACAAGTAATCAAGAACTACAATACATATTGAAAAAAAAGAAGTAAAAGAAAACACTACAATACATATAATTAACGCTAGTCTAAAGAAGGCACACAAGAACAAAAAAGACAGACATTTAAATCAGACAAGTTGGGGGGCCCAGGATTAGCGGCCCAGGATCAGTCACTGAAAGGATGACGGGGAGATCGTAGAGAAGGATGTTCTAGGCAGAGGAGGGACATTTAGTTATTAATACATTTATCCATTCAGTAAATGTGTTTTGTTCATGTCTTTTATTAACTCATATACAAGTAACTGTCTTCTGGTTTGCTGAAGCAATAAGTGAGACATTTATCACAATAATGTCTGCCGAAGTGGCTGGCCGTAAACACTCCAGCACGACATTCATCTGAAGAGCACTCTAGATGAAGGTGACTTATTTTGCCATTCTCATCCACCTTACAGTATTTCAGGACGGCCAGCTTCGCCGCCTTTTGCTTACACTTATTCTTCTCAGGAGTGGTATAAACATTCAGTAAATACTAATTGAATATCTAAGTGCCATGTACTGTTCCAGTACTGAAGATACAACAGTGAATAAAACAGACAGGATCTCCTTCCTTGTAATTCTAACATTCTAGTAGGAGAGACAAAAATGATTGGGCCACAAAAATATTAAGTAGTGAGATGTACTTTGGGAGAATATAAGCAGGGTGGAGGTGCCGGTGGTGGGTAGGGTGAGGATGTGACCTTAGAATGGAGAGTGGAAGAGTGGGAGAGAAGGAAGGCCTCTTCAGGTAGGTGTCATTTAAGCTCAGATCTGAATGGCAACTGTGGGAAGCTCGGGTTGATCATTCAGGCAGTGGGAAGAGCTGTTGCAAAAATCTTAAGCAGAGAATGAACTTTGTGTTTTTGAGTTGGCAAAGACCAGCGTGGCTGAAGTGCAGTGGGTAAAAAGAGGGGCAGGAGATGCAATACGGAGAGAGGCAGGTGCCAAACCTAGGTGAGGGCTGAAAGCTTGAGAGTAGTGAGCTCAGAGACCTGGTAAGAGTTTGATATGGCATTAGGAAAGGGACTGTGTTAGGTGATGAGAGAAGTGATTTGGGAGATATAGGCAAGAAATGGATTCTGACAAGCCCTACATGGAGGATCTGGGAGGCATTATTTCTGCTCAGTGCCATGCAGAGAATCCAAGGAGGCCATGACTAAAGTCATTAAAAGAAAACCTTTCATGTTTATGCCTTCAAGGAAGGTATGCATATGAATCTTATCTTTATTACTTGTTCTTGAATCAAAGTCATCAACACACAGACTCTATGAGAACTTAGAACTTTTCTCGAGTGTGCCCCTAAATTCTGATTAATGTAAAATTTATTTTTGCAATATTTGAGTATACTTACCCTGATGGTGATTTCTGTTCGATGAAATATTAAACTAAGTTGTTTTATAAGAGGAGAATATATTTTACAATGACTTAAATGTTGAGGTAGCACATAATGTCATGTTGGTAACAAATATGTGATATTTATTTACTAGAGCATGAGAGAATTTTGCCTACTGGTATATGATGCAGACATTGCTATTTGTCTACCTTATATCCATGGTTTTCCCTTCATTCTTAACAACAGAACCTCAATTTTGTTTGCCAATGAGCCCAACCAAAAAGACTTGTGTTTTAAACTTCCTTGCAGCTAGGGATCATCTTGTGACACGGTTCTGGTCAACATGTAGGTGGAAGTTTCTAGGGAGCGTGATCTTTCCTGAAGAAAAAGGCAAAATCTGGAGAAAGTCCCTTTTCCTGTTCCCTTTCATGCTTCCCCTTCCTTTCTGGTATTTGTAATCATTTAGTGACTTGATGTTTGGAGTCTTCTAATTTCTTTAAACATGATGCAAAACAGTATGTGGAGCTCAAGACCACTGTCCCATGAGGAGTTGGGCTAAAGCTTTGTAATATTTGCATTGGTCTGGAGCTAAACTGTAGACGTAAAACTATAGTAAGGTAATTTTATCAAAAGTACAATATCTCTCAGAATTCATTATACTGAAGGCTATACTTCATGTATGTAGTGATAAGTAGTTTCTCCCTTTCCTTGATCCAGAATGCATGTATGTAGTGATACATAAGTTTCTGCCTTTCCTTGATCCAGAAAAATCTAGTCAACAATTATTTCTTAAATGTTCATTTAACTATATGTACACTGACTAAAATTTCTTTTTTTTTTTTTTTTTTTTTTTTTTGAGACGGAGTCTTGCTCTGTCGCCCGGGCTGGAGTGCAGTGGCCGGATCTCAGCTCACTGCAAGCTCCGCCTCCCGGGTTTACGCCATTCTCCTGCCTCAGCCTCCCGAGTAGCTGGGACTACAGGCGCCCGCCACCTCGCCCGGCTAGTTTTTTGTGTTTTTAGTAGAGACGGGGTTTCACCGTGTTAGCCAGGATGGTTTCGATCTCCTGACCTCGTGATCCGCCCATCTCGGCCTCCCAAAGTGCTGGGATTACAGGCTTGAGCCACCGCGCCCGGCCTAAAATTTCAATTTCAAATATAACACTTCTTTTTGTGCCATGAGGGATACAGAAATGATGAAACCAAGATTTTTTCCAAGTTCTTGGGTCTACAGATTTAAAAAAAAAAAAAAAAAAGAAAGAAAGAAAAGTAAGAAAAAAGAAAAAAACAAATTAAAATAAAAAAAGATTTTTGTTCTTAGAAAGCTGATAATTTCATGAGATGACACGTGCTCACAAATAAATGTAAAACAAGTATGTATATGATGTGGTGGGCCATGGCCAGGCCTGCCCAAGAAAAACTAAGTGGATGTGAAAGGATTTGGAAAAAAAGCCCCAGCCCCAAATGCAAAGCACACATTTCCAGGGCTGGAACCTGGACATTAGGCCTAGGTGATGTGCCTCCAGAGTGGTAAAACTGTTGCCTTATGTATAGTACAAGTTGTTTCTGGATGGTGAAGAGCCTAGGGTTATTAAAGTTATTGAGTCTACAATTCTGTGAGACATCTCATTCCCTGTAGGCCCTGTCACTGAGTTGCAGTGTGCCTCTAGATACAAGGAGTCAGTGCGAGCTGCTTCCTCCCCCGCAACCTGCCTCTGCATCTGGTTCTGTGCTCTGTGCAGTTTACTGGCTGCTTCAGGATTAAACAAAGTAAAAGCAACCCTGAAATGTTGCCCATTTTAGCATCTTTGAGTAGGCCGTGTGGGGAGGTAGTAAGTGCCATTAGGCATTATTAGGATGAGTATCAAAGAGTTGTGAGGAGGAAGAAACAATTCTGGCTGGAGGCTTCAGGAAGGTGGCAGCATGAGCTACCTCTTGAAAGGCAGATAAAATTTCTTAAGGTGAAGATGGGAGGAAAGGCATTACAAGAAGAGGAAAGAATATGAATGAGGAAATGGAGGTAGGAGAACAGAGCTGTGTATTGGAAATGAAAAGCATCCCGTTTGGCTGAAGAACAAGGACTGTATGAGGAAGCAGTGAAAGATGAGGCTGGAAACGGAGTCAGGGCCAGGCTAAGAGGGTTGGCATTTAAAAATTAGTCATGGGAACCATGGAATGTTTCTGAGCAACTATTAAAGCAGGTGGATTAGTAAAACAGAGGACACACAAATAAATCTGGCAGCATTACTGTGCATGAAACATGGAAGAAAAGACTGGGAGGTCGCTCAAAATGCCCAGGCATGAACTGAGGTCACATGTGATCACAGAATAGGACAGGAATTTAAGAGTGTTATTTTAAAACTAATTGCTTTGTGTGTGTGTGTGTGTGGGGGGGGGGGATGCATCAAAGAGAAAAAAGACTGTGAATTTGAGTTTTGGAATTTAACATATGGGAGGATAATAAATAGTACAGTGAACAAAGGGAAGACAGGAAGAAGGAAATATAGTATTTGTTTCAGAGATGTGGGGTTGAGGTACAAGTGGAACATTCTGGTGGAAATGTGCTACAGGCAATTGAAAATAGAAGAATATAGCTCAGCTGAGAGGTGGAGTGGCAGATGACTCACCTACATTGAGGTGAGTCAGGGACTTTGATCTGTCATAAGCATAGTATATGAACCTAATAACAGGCTCTAAATACTTGACAAATGTCCTAACAAGGAAGTCAGACATCTAGGAGAGTCTTGAGAAAAAAAGCAAAACTGCGATTATTGATATGTGTAACTTATGTTTGTTTTACCAGCTGTGAAGTTCTCAGAAACTCTTATCCTCAATTGACCTCTCAACTGGCAGGTAGTATTGTCAAAGGACACATTCTTGTATAGAAACCCACAATGCTGAATTGCCATATATTCCTAGTCTAGAATCTGAGATATACACGAACTCCATAACTAAGTAGATGAAAGCATCCCTTTTTTGGGGCGCTGCGGGGGGGGCACATAACCCTGAACCACGGTCCAATTACAGGTACAGTACTGATGATGGCTTAACTAGTTCATGGGACTAGTTAAAACTAAAACCATGGAAATGTTCCCCAGGAGAGGTAGGGCTGTGTGCCTGGCAGGTGCCGCAGGGAAGTAGGGGAAAGGTTAAGGAGAACATCAGCCTCCGGAGAAAGAGAAGCAAAGGTGATTGCATAGCTGCCAGCTGGAAGCCGACTCCTGTCATCGGGCGTACTCGCCCCCATTGCGCATCGCCGGTGCCTACCTCACCCAGTTCCAAGGCGGGGGCCGAGCGGAGGCAGGGGTGGGGTCACCAGGAGAAAAGGAAGTGGGCAGAAAAGCCCGTAGGGAAGAGAGGGCTGGAAGGAGGCCACGGCCCCAGCCTTACTACGTTTCCCAGAATTCAGTGAGGCCACGAAGACAGGCTCCATGGGCGCGGACGGAAGACTGGCTGCATGGGATTTGTAGGCAGGATCCGCGCCCCGCCCGAAGGAGGAGTCTAGCTGGGAGGTGTGCAGGGATTGGCTGGGGAGCGCTCAAGTCCCGCCCACATGGTGACGTCAGGCGGCGGTCTTGCTACTTAAGGCGTCGAGGCCTCGCCTGCCCCGCCTTAGCTCCCGCGCTAGAGAGAAACATGTATCGTTTCCGATCACAGCTCTTCACGGGGATTTCTGCTGCCGCCACCGCCCACTCTTACCCCCGCCGTTTCTCGCCTCTGTTGTTAGCCGAAGACTCGCCTCTCAGCCGCCCGCCGCACAGACGCACGAGTAAAAAGTGCAGCTCCATCGGCTGATCCTCGCTAAGCTCCGACTCTAGGCGGCACCGGGCGTCCCACGATGCCGAAGAACAAGAAGCGGAACACTCCCCACCGCGGTGGCAGTGCTGGCGGCGGCGGCTCAGGAGCAGCTGCAGCGACGGCGGCGACAGCAGGTAAGGGGTATCCCCGCCGCCGGCATCCCGGTTGCCGGCCAGGCTGGCAAGTCTCCCATTCTTGGGCACTGTGGGAGTTGTAGTTCTTTCTCTGCTCTACACGTTTGCGTTTCCAGGGTGCGTGGTTTGGCTACTGAACTACAATTCCCAGCGTGCCCTGGGCGCCGCTCCTCGCGCGATTTAATCTGGCGTGCGAACCGGACTCTTGGGCACCGGCTGTGGGGGCGGGGAGGAATGGGTCCATGGGCCTGAGAGTGTGTGGGAACTGGGGCTGACCGGGAGCTGGGCGGGAAAGGAACTATTCTCAGAGTTCCTTTCTCTGCGGCGATCTCTCCCGATCTCTCCCTGACCACGGGTGGGGAAGAACAGGGAGTTGGGTCCATGCCGTCACTGGCCGCCTTTGAGGGCCCGGCTCCAGTATGGAGCTCCTGGGATGCCAAACGTCCGGCGGGTTTGGACGAGCTCTTGCGTCACGCGGCCTGGGCCTTGCGCGGTGGGCCCGGGGTGACGCAGAGGCGTCGGGGAAGTTTTCCGTCCCGCCTGCCCACCTGGCCAGGCGGAGGCCTCGGAGGCGGGGGGACCTCTTTCTCCCGCCTAGGCTGTGCTCCTGCCCCTAACTGGCACCTACAGAAGCCCCGAACCTCTATAGCACCTCTGCGATCACCCGAGGCGACCTCCTGCTCACGGGGGAAGGAAACGCGTTCTCCTTTGTGCTACATTCTATATGTTCTCTGCTGTGAGCCCCAGAGAGGCAGGGTATTGGAGAGCTTAGGTTGCAGTTGGCTAAAAGTTGAGGTTATTGTGCCCTCGCTACGAAGTCGAAGTTTTTCCTGGGTGGGATGGGTAGGTGCTTAACTGAATTTATGGTTTTCTACTTATCATATGGTTAAGAAAAAGGATTCCAATTGGAATTGGAAGGCCCTTCTAGGAGAGACCCCAATAAACTCAAATCGAGTATTAAATAACCTGGTAATATTTTATTTAGAAATTTAAACAGGAGTTAAATATTGGAGTATTCTCTGACGTTATCGCACCGGAACTACTAGCTGTTAGGTATTTTTGAACACAGTTGTCACTCTGCCACGGCTGCCACTCAGAACGATATGCCTTTGTTCGCAAGAAAAGTAAATATGCGGGTTATGTTGTTAAAGGTTATTGGAAACTGGCATTTAGAAAGCTCAAAAACTAGTGATCATGTATTAAACATTTAATACTTGACCATAGGGAGGGATTCTTAAAACAGCAATCTTTTCCATTTTTTTAGGTGCCTCTTTATTTTGAATGCTCTCCATGTTGATGAAATTCATTTTTTATCAAGATGTAAAATATGTAATTAGTTTATTGTGGCCTCTGGTTGCTCTATGTGAATTGAGGATACTTTTTTTTTTTTTTTTTTTTTAAGGGAAAGGGAGTCTGTCTGTGTCGCCTAGACTGGAGTGCAGTGTGGTGTGATCATAGCTCACTGCAACCTCTTAACTCCTGGTCTCAAGCAATTCTCCCACCTCAGCCTTCTGTAGCTAGGACTATGGGCGTGTGACACCATTCCTGGCTATTTTTTACATTTTTTGTAGAGACAAGGTCTGTGTTGGCCAGGCTGGTCACAAGTCCATCGTCCCCAGGGATCCTCCTGCCTCAGCCTCCCACGATGCTGGGACAGTGCCTGGTCTGAGGATATTTCTTACTACTGTGTTTCAGCTTTTCCTCATCTGAATCAAACATTTTAATTCTTTCTAGAAGATATTTATTTTATTCTTTTCCCTTTTGTTGATGAAATGGAAAAGTTTGAAAGCTAAAGTTTGAAAGTTGTAATGATATTAGTAATGGCCTAGATCAGGCACAAACCTTTATTCCCGTCTAAAGTTTCTGGGCAAGCCTCGTTCTCTCTTTGTGCTTACAGTACCTATATAGGCCTCTGGTGGCTGTGCGGGGATTGCCTTTTAAATTTTGCCTCAGGGCTCATTTGTGACCTTTCATCAACTTTCTTGCTGCTACCTTTTCACTATTTTAGTAGAAAAGATCCATTTCACCACTGAATTTTATCATATGTAAACAAATGGAAAATAATTCTTTGATTAATTTATAACACAATACATGCTTTGAATATCTTTGGAAGTATGTGCTAGAACTTGTTAACTGTGGTTGCCTCTCAGAGGTGGAACTGGGGAAAGGGATGGGGGTGAGATTTACTTTTTGAAACTTTAACTTGGTGTCCCGTGTGAATGTTTTACGTGTTTAATAAACAAGTAATAAATAATAGTTGAGTAGAAGAGATGGAAAATTACGCAAACTTTTGCTTACTTGCAAGCCACTTACCTAATTGGTATTTTTAAATGACATCTAGAAGAAATGGGATTCAAATGAGGTATCCACTATATAACCAAATTGTCATTATTACTTTAATGACTTAAACTTTTTTATGTTAGTGGAGAGTTTTAGGAAGGTAATAAAATTGACTTCTTTTATACAGGTATGTCATAGCACTTAATTTAAAGAGAATGTTTTCAAGAAGGAACAAAACCTTGTTAGTAAGCCCTCTAGAAATAATTATATACCTAGAGTGCCGTCTCTTTCACGGTACTTAGGCTCACAACGTGGGTGAGTTTGACCTAGATATCAGACATTCATACAGGGTTTTTTTCCTTGATATATATATGTGTGTATTTTTTTTCTTTCCCTCGAATCTTAGAAATCATTAATACTGATGAGTTAAGGGACCAGAGTAAGAGTTGCCTAGGAGGAATACTCTCAGAAATAGGCTATGAAAAAGAAAATCTGTGAATTGACTTGTGAATAAATGTTAATAAAATTAATCAGATGACACTCATGTGTTGCCATGACTTCAGTCATAAACACGAGGAAGATAGATCCAGAAATAGAGTATGATGTCATAGGTCTTTGTTTATTCCTGTCCTAAGCACTCGAAGAAATTTTGAGATTTTGGCTTCATTACTTAATCTTTATGCTTTACTACTTTGGCACTATGCAAGCAAATCTGAAGGCCACTTGCTTGCTGTGTTAATTTAAAAATCTGCTAAATTCTCTGTTTTGATTTTTAAAAAAGACAACTCCTTTAAAAAAAAAATCCAGCCCAACAGTAACAGGCTTAAATTTGGAGCATTAAAAAAAAAACAAAACCCTTAGGGTGGTGACGTTTGAACATAGGAACTTTGATTTTACTGAAAGGGAATTAGGTTCAGAGGTTAATCAGGTGATCACTGTCACTTTTAGGGCAGCATTTGGGACTTAACTCAGTGCTGATTGTAGTGCATGACTTGGCAGGCCTTTTATTTAATGCAAAATCCCTAAGCGACTGTGTATTTATTCCTGAAGTTAATGAAGTTGAAAGAAAGATTCTAGTTTTTAAAAAGATTTTATTTTTTTTAGTAACAGCATTGGTACTGTTTTTTTTTGTTTTTTTTTTTTGAGACAGAGTTTCACTCTTGTCGCCCAGGCAGGGAGTGCAATGGTGCTATCTTGGCTCACTGCAATCTGTGCCGCCTGGATTCAAGCGATTCTCCTGCCTCAGCCTCCCAAGTAGCTGGAATTACAGGCGCCTGCCACCAGGCCCAGCTAATTTTGTATTTTTAGTAGAGACTGGGTTTTGCCATGTTGGCCAGGCTGGTCTCGAACTCCTGACCTTAGGTGATCTGCCAGCCTAAGCCTCCCAAAGTGCTGGGATTGTATGTGTGAGCCACCTTGCCCGGCCAGCATTGGTACTTTTAAACTCTTGCACGTTGTATAGAACCTTTCCCTTAAAGGTAGTTTATCTGATAGGCTTTTATACTATATCAAATACCAAAACTTCTATTTTAAGCCTTTTTTTCTTCTCTCACTTTAAGTTGTCTTTAAAACTACCCTGTCTTAACTCCTTAATTCCCCTTAACATAAGACATGTGTAACCTAAAAACCTATTCACCAGTTCATGTTTGCTAAGCCCAGCCATTCTCATTGGAAAATGTATTTGTCTTACTCTTATGATTATCTATGATACAACACTCTATTTCTGGATCTGTTTTCATTGTCTTCATGATTTGAAATCATGGTCTGGAAATAATTTTTTCATCTTCATATCAGTTTTTTTTGAGACAAGGTCTTGGCCTGTTGCCCAGGCTGGAGTGCAGTGGCACCATCTCGGCTCACTGCAGCGTCTGCCTCCCGGGCTCAAGCGATTCTTCTGCCTCAGCCTCCCGAGATGCTGGGACTATAGGCGTGCACCACCACGCCGGGCTAATTTTTGTATTCTTAGTAGAGACGGGCTTTCACCATGTTGGCCAGGCAGGTCTCAAATTCCTGACCTCAGGTGATCCACTTTCCTAGGCCTCCCAAAGTGCTAGGATTGCAGGCGGGAGCCACTGCCCACCTTCCTGTCAGTTTTGGTGTCATAAAAAATGAGTGCCTCAGCTGGGGGCGCAGTGACTCACACCTGTAATCTCAGCACTTTGGGAGGCCGAGGTGGGTGGATCACGTGGGTGGTTCACGAGGTCAGGAGTTCGAGACTAGCCTGACCAACATGGTGAAACCCTGTCTCTACTAAAAATACACAAAAAATTTGCCAGGCGTGGTGGTGTGCGCCTGTAATCCCGGCTACTTAGGAGGCGGGGGCAGGAGAATTGCCTCAACCTGGGAGGTGGAGGTTGCAGTGAACCAAGATCGCGCCACTGCACTCCAGCCTGGGCGACAGGGACAGAAAAAAAAAAAAGAATGCCTCTTATTAGAGGACTGATGCGTATAGTTGATACATCATTGGTGCTTTGAAATAACGTATTAGGTGAACTGACTTAGTTTAAGAATATTTAAATATGTTCACTTGTGATAAAATTATCTCTTTTTATGAGTCTGTGGTTTTATTACTGGATTTCTCTTAAGTAAACTTAAAAATTCCAAAGTTAAATATTTAGATATATGCCAATAAAATAACTTACCTCTTTCCTCTTTTACCTAATAGGTGGCCAGCATCGAAATGTTCAACCTTTTAGTGATGAAGATGCATCAATTGAAACAATGAGCCATTGCAGTGGTTATAGTGATCCTTCCAGTTTTGCTGAAGATGGTATGAGTTTTAAATTTAAATTTGCGACTTTAGATAAAATGTTTCAGGTGGAGGAATTCTTGTAGCTAAGGTATACTATTGTTCCCTGTCTTTTTTTCTTTTACATTATAATGGCTGGTTTATATTATTTCTTAGGACCAGAAGTCCTTGATGAGGAAGGAACTCAAGAAGACCTAGAGTACAAATTGAAAGGATTAATTGACCTAACCCTGGATAAGAGGTAGGCAATACTGGAAACTCCATTCTGTGTGATTCTACGCTTGATCTTAGTCAAAAGCTAAGAGAAGTGATTATTCTGTGTGATTCTAATCAGCTACCTTATATATATATAATTTGTACAGCTCTCAGATAATAGCAATCTATTTTTCCAGAAGGTTAATTTGTTTACTTTGGATCATGTTTCTTGTTCCATTGGACTTTAATGTGTGTGGTAACATGCCATTAGAATTTAGATTGAGTCAGATTAGTAATTGTTCTAGCATAACAGCACATACATAACTGTATTTGATTATAATATAAATGAATTTGTTGAATTAAAAGTTAATCTTCAACTAGAAATGATAATGAAACCTTGCTTTAAGCTGCTTGTCTGCTAATGTTGTTATGATATGAAAAAATGTCAAAGCTAGATTATTTTTCTTCACTATAGCTTCAGAACTGACCTTAATAGAATTAAAAAGCCCTGAAGATGCAATTCTAGACGTTTATAGTTTTTTAAAAAGTGTAAATTTACTTAAATATGTAATATAGGAAAACAATACATTGAAACTATACTCATACATTGAAACGATAAAATATTATGTAGGCATTTAAAGTTGTGGCTATCAAACTAAGAAAAATGCCATGATATAAAGTGGCCTTAAGTGTTTTGTGTAATAAGGTGAGTCATAGATGGAAATTAAATTATATTACTGACAAATGGTTAGAGCTTGATGAGAATTAGATTTAAAAAATCTATACATAGATAAAGTTTAGAAGGAAATAAGATTTTAAAAAGTTACTTATTGTATACTCCAACTGGATCTTCTTTTTCTTACATTGGGTGTTAAATAGTGCGAAGACAAGGCAAGCAGCTCTTGAAGGTATTAAAAATGCACTGGCTTCAAAAATGCTGTATGAATTTATTCTGGAAAGAAGAATGACTTTAACTGATAGCATTGAACGCTGCCTGAAAAAAGGTAATGCCCTTATTTTTGAGTCACAGACATAGAACTAATAAGGAGTGTGTTATCTTCTTTTCGGTAACATTCAGTAATAGCACTGGAACACTGGTCCACTCTTAAAATTTTCTAATAGTCAAGGAGTACACCATCTTGTTATAGTTCAAAATGAGACTTGTTAGAACTTTTTGTTTTACGTAAAAAAAAAAAAAAAAAAAAAAGCTTGAAACTAAGAAGGATTGGGGTAGATTGTCATCATCCTTTTTAGTATCAGTAGAGGTGATAATTCTCTTGTTTTACCAGAAAAACTTGAAAGTGTATGTCAGACATCTAGCTCATTTTCCCTTGCACTTATATAAAACATTGATTATACCTTTAAATTACATCATTTTCAGGATATCCCTTGGAATACTTGAATTCTAGAACTTTGTAATAGAAATTCTGGAATTCAAATTGTTACAGCGATAGAACTTTTAAGACCAAAGAGAGATCTTAAAGATAATGTTGTCAGACCTTAAAGTCCAGTGTTACCAGACTTATCAGATTTAGGAACCACCAAATTTAAAAAGACTTGTGACCAGGCATGGTGGTTCACATCTGCAATTCTGGCACTTTGGGAGACGGAGGTGGGAGGGTCGCTGGAAGCCAGGAGTTGGAGACCACCTGGGCAACAAAGCAATGCTTGGTTTCTATTATAACAAACAAAACAAGATTTGGTGTCTGCCAACTTAGCCAAGTAAGAACATTATGAAAATAATTATCTTCCACTATCATCATTTTATTAGCAAAATATTCTAGCACCAAAAATGTAGAAATGCACTTTTAAAAAATTGAATGAACTAAGCTTTTTGTTCTTATTTTTCTCATTTTACCTGAGAGTAAAAAATTTCGTTGTAAGTGAAACCTATGATCAAATTCACCTCTCCCATTGAATAGAATAAAGAAAGGCTTGGGAAAACTGAGATGGATCTAAGCTTATATATCTTGTTATTGGTATAGTTGATAGCAGACCCAACTTTTTAAAGATAACACAATGGCTCTATTAAAGGTGTTTTACATTCAAACTGTATGCTATAATGGTTGTTGGACTAGATGACCTTTAAAAATTCCATTTTAGCTTGCATTTTTTTACATTTTTAATTTATCAGGTAATAGTTTAAGTTTAGTATTTGCCCCACACCTCACCTGTGGTATATACAGTTCTCAGGAGTTAATTTATATTTACCTTTATATAAATGTATTTTTTGCACCACTACATTCCAGCTTGGGTGATAGTGAGACCCTGTCTCAAAAAAAAAAAAAAAAGTTAATAAATGTATTTTTTATGGTCTTAAAGAATTATTTTAAATCCTGTATTTATTTAAAAAAATGTTGGTGGGGAAACCCTGAAGGTTTACCTGATGGACTGTGTACATCTGAAATGCTTAGGAGATTAATTCAAGGGCAATTTGAGCACTGTTTATATGAGTACATTAAGGAGTTTGAAGACAGAAATTGGCTTGAAACACATTTAGTTGAACTGTTAAAATACTCCCTTAAGATAGATATTAATCTCCATTTTACAGATGAGGAACTCTAGAGAATAAGAGTAATTAATCGTTGATCATTTGGCTACTAAGTGGAATCTAGGATTTGACTGAGGTCTGTCTGTCTTTATAGTTTGAGCTCTTTAGCCTAAGTTTGTAACTTGCATCAAAGCCTGGAGCATGGGGTTTCAAAAATGGTAAATGCTATTTTGTCATTGATCAAATTTGGGAAATTACTGTCTTAGTGAGTCTACTGAAAAGACTATTGTGATTGCATCTTGGCTGCTTTTATAGGTAAGAGTGATGAGCAACGTGCAGCTGCAGCATTAGCATCTGTTCTTTGTATTCAGCTGGGCCCTGGCATTGAAAGTGAAGAGATTTTGAAAACTCTTGGACCAATCCTAAAGAAAATCATTTGTGATGGGTCGGCTAGTATCCAGGCTAGGCAAACTGTAAGTATAAGATATTTACATTTATAGATCTGTCTATTCATGATACCCAGACATGGTGCGCCTGTAGTACCATACCAGCTACTCAGGAGGCTGAGGCAAGAGAGAGGATCTTGTAAGTCCAGGAGTTTGAGGCAGCAGTGAGCTATGATCATGCCACTAAACTGTAGCCTAGGAGACAAAGCCAGACACTGTATCTTAAAAAAAAATAATAATTAATTCTATATTTACGGATTTGGGTAGACATAGGAAACTCTGAAATTCTGACTTGCGAAGTAGTCTTCCAATTTTGGGGTTTGAGAAAGCTTTCATTCTCTAATTGTTGGATGTTTACCTCTTGTAACACTTGACTTTAGATTTTGGGTTTTGGGGGTTTTATATTTTGTTTTTGGTGTGGCAATAAGTGATACAAATGATCATATGGACATGTTTTACTTTGTCACAGAAACATCTGATATGGTCTTAGTGGATTTGGAAAAGTAACATGTGATCCTAAACTTTTTTTAAACAAGTGAATCAGTTTAAACTTGAAACATTGTAATACTTTTAATATTGATTATCCAAATCAGCTTCCTTATTAGTATTACTTAAGTGACATTAATCTTTGTCTAAGTAGCTTGGTAAAAATGTATTTCTTCTTCTTATCATCACCACCCAATGCAAATTGGCTGGAACTCCAGGCCTCCATTGCAGCTCCACCCACCTCTAGGTTCTCTCCATATGGCAGCCAGGGTAGCTAGGTGACAGACTCAGACAGAGCATGTCACTTTTGCATCTAGTTCCTTGGCTTACCAGGCATATGGAAGCTGGGAATAGTCTAGTTGTTTGCCCTGGAGGCAAAGAAATTGGAGTTTGGCAACTTCATGGTAATCTCCGTGCCCTCCAGTAGTTAGTAATACTGAAATATTTAATTAGCTTTTGCTACTTAACTTTTTCTTTTCTTCTTTTTGGGGAATATATGCAACTTTTAAATCATGTGGAACTATGGGTATAATTTCGTACTAGAATGAGAGAAGACACTCTGCTGAGTAGATTTTTGGAGCAGTCACTTAATTTTGATTGTATGTGAGTTTTTTGTTCATTTAAAGGCATTTTCTTTTTCATACTTCCGAGTTGCTGTGAATTTTTAAAAAACCTTAGTCTCCCTGTTTAGCAGATGGAATCCATATTAAATTGAGGCAGTCCTAGGGTTTTTTTTTTTTTTTGACAGGGTCTCACTCTCCTACCCAGGTTGGAGTACAGTAGCACAATCATGGCTCACTACAGCCTCTACCTGCTGGGCTCAGGTTATCCTCCTGCCTCAGCCTCCTGAGCAGCTGGGACTAGAGGCGTGTGCCACCTTGTCTGGCTCACTTTTAATTTTTTGTAGAGATGGGTCTTGCTGTATTGCCCAGGCTGGCCTTGAGCTCCTGGGCTCGAGTGATCCTCCTGCCTTGGTCTCTCAAAAGTGTTGAGATTATAGGTGTGAGCCACTGCACCCAGCCAGTTCTAGTTTTTAATTGGCTGTTTTTCTTAGAGTCATCAAAAGTAGCCTTGCTTCTGCTGCTTACTTAGCAGAAGGGATTATGGATTGAAAATTTCCTTTAATGCTTCGGCTACTTTTAAATTTTAACAGTGTTCAGTTTTTACCAGGATGATATAATGAAAATAAAATAGTGACACCAAGCAGATTAATATCATAGATATCCTCATAGTACCGGAACAGAACTGACTGAAACCTGGGCCTGATGCCAGTGGTGACTTTAAAGACTTAAAGCTTTAATAATACTTAGAACAACATGAGGGAATTTTAGTAACAAAATGTAGAATAATAAAATCTCAGATAACAAATTCTGTTTTTATATGGATTAATTTGTTAAAACAAATTTTCTGAGAATTGAAGGCTTCTGTTTATGTTGCAGGTAGATGGCTTGTGTAAGTGTTGTGTTCTAAGTGTTTTATTCGATAAGCTTTACCTTTCTAATCATATAGTGTACTCACTTTTGTTTAGCCCTTCCCCTCCTCAAACAAAAGGCAATTATATGATTCCCAGCCTCTTTTCAGCATAATCCAGAATAAGTGAAATTTGAATTAATGGGATTAATTAATTAGGTGGAAAGTTTGAAGACAGTTATTTACGTTTTATGAAATTTCTGCTCCTTTGTGCTTATTTCTTGGAAGCTGATTTCTTTTAGAAGTTTTCATAGTAGAGTCTTCATAAGAACAAAAGAATATAGATAGTTTTAACAGCTAAAAAACCGGTGGAATTGTAATGTATTTTAAAGACTTTTTAATAGAGAAGGCAGGCTTCTTTATCTCATATGTCTAAGCTTTCTATCTTTGAATTACAGTTGAAGTTTGAAATGATCCAGTAAGTACCTGTAAAGCATACAGAAAGGAAACGAGGGGATAGTTCACCCTTTCAGACTGCTTTACTGACATAGACTCATAAAAATAATTCAATAATTTAAATCATAGATTATGGAGCTGCAATTGTTTTAGAAATTATGTAATTCTTTTGCATGCTTTTGATTTTATGGATCAATAAAAGAAGACCGAAGAAGAACAGAATCACTTCGTTAAAGTCATGCTGTGAATTTGGTAGCAGAGCTTGAACTGAAATGCGCTTCCTTTGATCTTAGCTCAATATTCTTTCTCTCCTCACCTCTTTTATATACAGTGCTTGGGACCTAATATATCATGTTGCTGAGAACATTTTCACATTGAATTATAAAAGCAGGAAGATGTAGAATTAATAAGAAATAAAATCATTAATGTCTATATATATATATTTTTTTAGTGTGCAACTTGCTTTGGTGTTTGCTGTTTTATTGCCACAGATGACATTACTGTAAGTAAAAAACCTTTGATTCTGTTATCTGTGGTTATTTCTAATTTATCTGTGGTTATTTCTAATTTAAGGTGGTTATCTTACTTCATATTATTATGCATTAGGAACTATACTCAACTCTGGAATGTTTTGAAAATATCTTCACTAAGTCCTATCTCAAAGAGAAAGACACTACTGTTATTTGCAGCACCCCTAATACAGTGCTTCATATCAGCTCGCTTCTTGCATGGACACTACTGCTGACCATATGCCCAATCAATGAAGTGAAGAAAAAGCTTGAGATGTATGTATTTTTAGTTTCATATTTTATAAAAGCAACATTTAGTGGACATAATTGGTTGTATTCACATAGTAATGACTAACTGTTTTTTAGGCATTTCCATAAGCTTCCAAGCCTCCTCTCTTGTGATGATGTAAACATGAGAATAGCTGCTGGTGAATCTTTGGCACTTCTGTTTGAATTGGCCAGAGGAATAGAGAGTGTAAGTATCTAACTGGCAGAGGAAAAAGCTTGTGTCACAAGACCCATTGTTCCATCATTACCTTGCAATTGAGAATTGGACAATAACTTTGGAACATGGCCAGCTTGAGAACCCAGTGATTTATTTCCCTGCTTCTTGGCAGTGGTGGTATAATACTTTAGAGAGCGGAAACCAGTAGGGGTTGGTAGAGCAATGTTTGACTGTGGTTCGTTATACTTAATTTTTGCTGTCTATAGAACTGCAGTTTAGGGATGCTCATGGAGAGAGTTTTTTCTAGTGTAAACTGTATGAAACTGCTTGGATTTCTCAGATACCCGATATATCAAGCTAATGAAGGCATGTGATACTTCATAATTAATATCAAACAAATGAATAAAATACTAAGTCATCATAGGTTTGGGATGAGAGGGGTTCAGTAACTTCTCTAAGCCAAAGATGGAAATAAACACTGCTCATTAGACTGGGACATGTGCTTTGCAGTTACCCATTCACTTGTTCACTCACGGGTGTTAGTTACCATGGGTTGGCTCTCGATGGGATTTGAGTTTGTGATAGTTTGATCAGCCAACCCAGTTTGCTTTGTACTTGTTTTTGGTTTAGTGCTTACCATCTTATGTTCCAGGAAATCCTTTAATTTGGGCAAACTGGGTCATTTGGTAGCCCTAGTTTGTCATCTCTATTTTAAGGATTGCTAAGATAAAGGAATGCCTCAAATCTTACCATTGGAAGGGAAAATTTATTCTTAAGATATGTGATTCAGATACTGTGCTGATATTTAGAAATGAGGAGCTGGTTTGACTGCCTTCACACTGAATCTGTGAAGGATCCAATAAGAAAACTAAACATATGGGAAATGGGTAACTAAATAGTAGATATTATTGCCAACCTTGAATTACTTACTAGCTGATTTTTAATTTAAGGAGAAAGAGTATATTTTCAGAATGAAACTTTTTTGCATTTAAAGAAGTTATTTAACAGTGAACAGTCCCAAACAGGATTAATACAGTTCTGCCGTGTATAGTCATTCACATTCCATTCTAGGCCTGTATTGAAGAACGTTTACAGTCTTAAAATTTTTGTGTGTGAAGTGACTCTCTCCTCCCCTACACTCCTTTTGTTTGAGGGATTACAGTAGGTAGGAATGGAAAGTAAATTAATGTTGTCAGTAGCTAATAATTCTCCTTATGTGAGAAATTTGACTCAAATTTAGCAATTAATTTAATTTTACTGAGCTAGTTAATACCTTCTTAACCTCAAGGCATGGAAACCAGATGTTCCAATTTTTACACTTACATTCCTCTACTGGCCAGAAATGGCAATTTCTTTTCGTTTTTTTCCTTGGAAATGCATTTTTAACATGAAGTCATAATGCAGTTTTAATTATACGTGTTGAATTTAATTTTGTATAAACATTATATGTATAGACACATATATATATACACACACATATTTTTTCTCTAACTTAATAAATTACGCAAGATAACCAGGAGAACTCATCCAGACGTACTTCATTTGACTTGAATTTTTGTCCAAGGGCAAAAATGAACTGGGTTACAAAGTAGAACCTAGTGTTTTTATTTGCATTTTTTTTTTTTTTTTTAAATAAGCTTTTTATATGTGGGTGCTGGTTGGGGGATAGTTATAGGGTGTTCAAAAATGAAATCTAGGGTGTTAGTGAAAAACATGGACAGATTTGAAATAGGGTTCATACAGCAAATGAGTTTTGAATTATTCAAGTCCTTTTGCTAACTTTCTGATGTTATTAACTTTGAAATCTAGTGATGTGACGAGTTCTGCCTGAGAGACTTAGAAAAACGTTTCGAAGAGCTAACTTTTAGGTTGGATTTTAATGAATGAGTTAGTTAAATAATAATAATAAACTGTTCAAAGTTGAAATTAGTGATTATTACTCCTTTGTGAGAGTTCTAGGTTAATGGATGTTTGCCATATAACCAATTAGATAATAGTAGACGCTGGAGCTGTTCTGCCTACCTTCAGATCTCTTTCTCTCTTACTAGTTGGATAATATTGGGCAACTTCTCTATGCCTCAGTCTCCTTATCATTAAATGGAGAAATTATTAGTCACAACCTCATAGAGTTGTTGAGAACACATGATAGGTACAGTATAAGTGGTAGCTGTTACTTGGAATGTTGGTTGAATTGAGTATTGCGTTTGGCAGTAGTCTGCTAGTGACCTTTTAGGAACTCTAGAGTAACTTAATATAAAAGAGACATTATTTGGTGGGCAGAATTAAGATCTTGGGAGCCATTGCTGGTGCAATCCCAACTTGGGAAAATTTAACAAAATCTAGTTAGACCTTTTCCAAGTCTCACCCATTCCATTCCCCAGCTGAGCGGACAGGGGAAGTGCTATATCATAGAGAGAAAAAAAGATAATAAAAGACCAAATATACTCCTGGGAAGTAAAATCTGAAATCACCTAGATTTTATACTTTGGAAGCAGCAACTTAGCATTCTTCTTGTTTTTTGCCCTTGTTTGTATAATAACTGACCCTGTGTAAAAATATCTCCATACCTTGACAAAGATATTCTGCCTTGATGAGTAGGAATTGAAATAAGTCTTTTTAAAGAGACAGGGTCTCACTCTGTTGTCCAGGCCGGAGTGCAGTGGCAGGATCATACCTCACTGCAGCCTCAGACTTCTGGCCTCAAGCAATCCTCCCTCCTCCTTCCAAAGTCTTGGGATTATAGATACAGAGCCACGGTCTGGCCTCAAGTTTTATTTTAATATTAGGCTTTTGTATGATTTTTATTTCTTAATACTTAGCTATCCAAGACCCAGCTTATTTTGTTTATAATGAGTGTTCCAGTGACTTCTGTATAGAAATAATAGTTTGGGGAATGATTAGTTTTTGTGACCGTAAGCATCTCACCCTGTCTGCCTAAACTTTTCCAGAAATTTTCTTTGGTTTCATTTCATCCTAATTCCATTCAACTTTTGAAACCATTTAATTGGTAACTTATTTTGCTTTGAAATAATTATCTTCAGCTGACCAGTTTGTTGTATTTATATTGTGTTAGATTCAAACAGGCTATTTATAACAGTAAGATCTATAACGTAATGGATGTTTATCTCCTGTGTTTTATATATTTCTAATAGTTCCTTATAATAAACCTATGAGATGTGGGTGGTAATAACTGTTACATAAGAGGAGCCTGAGACAGATTGCTAATGTAGTTCTGTCAGGTTGTGTAGATCTATGCGGCGGATGCTTGTGATTCAAACCTAGATGTTCGGACTGCAAAACCTGTGTCTTACGTATGATATTAAACTGCCTCATATAGTTGTGATTGCTACACAGATTTTTTTTAAAATGTGAGTTCTATGTGCCTCCAAATCTAGAATATTGATGTAATAGTTAATGCTTCAGAATTTATTGGGGAATTTATTTTTATGTCTTTTTAATGCTTACAACCATTGTTAGAGAGGGTGGATATTATCTTTTTTTCAGATGATAAGATAGATTTATAATTTATAAAACTTGGTGTGGAGAGTAGTAGATTTGAGATTCTAATCTAGGATTTTTGACCCTGTTGTGTAGTAATGACTGGTATTTTCTTTTTATTATTGATAAGAGTATATTAAGATTATTTATTTCTCTGGGAGCTCATTTTTTATTTGCCCCAGAGTGGTACAGCTCTATTATATAATTATCCTAAACTCCAATTAATAGGCTTTTGAAAGCTGTTTATGGCCTGTTCTTAGTTACATGTTACATTTTATTTCCTTCCTTTTTTTTTCTTTTTAATGCCCAAGTACTCTCTAGAGCCTTTTTTCTAAAATACTTAGCATTTAATTCTTCAAGTTTTAATAGGATATTGAACTTGGTGATTCACAAACTAAACTTGATTGGGTTTTATCCATTGCTAAGATTATATTACGGTGGAGTTTTTCAGCTGCAGCATGCACTACTGATATTTTGGGCTGGATTATATTTTGTTGTTGTAGGAGTGGGGGCTGTCTTGTGCATTGAAAGATATTTTGCAGCATCCTTGGCCTCTCCCCACTAGGTGCCGATAGCACCCCCCTCTCCTAGTTGTGACAACCAAAAATGTCTCAGACGTAGTCAAATGTCCAGTGGGAAGTAAGACCATCCCCAGTTGATAATCACTGGCAGTGATTCTCACTTCTTAGAACAAATTAAAATAATGTATAGAATTTTCTTAAATTTTGATTTATTCTTCTATACAAATTAAAAAACCCTTTACATATACAGATATACACACACATATATATTTAGAATACTGTAAAAGAACAAGTAGCCAATAAAATGAGTAGGAGACTGCTAGTCCCTGAAATGTACTTGTTTTTTATAAATAAAATTATTCCCATCTTGTTATGATGCAAGTTGATTCTTTGGAATTTAAACACAGTTTGGTCTATTTTAATACCTACTTTGCATCTTATTAATGAGTATTGTCTCTAACTTAGATACAGGAGGTTGATTGGAACATTAGAGGAAAACATTTGTTGGAATAGTTAAGAATATGTAATTGGAAATATGACAAGAAGATATTTATGTACTTAAAAGCTAGAATATTTGTCACATTAATTTCGAGCTTATTTTTCACCAGTGTAATAATCCTTTTCATTTTAGACATTAAAAGAAACCAAGAAGGTCCAGAAGAGCTGTTATTTTAATTGAATAAGTTAAATGATTCTTAACTTCTAATGCAATAAATGTTAAACATGTATGAATAAACTAGAACTGGAGATTGCCCATCTCCTGGGTTCTTAGTAAGAAGTGTCTGTTCTAGTTTTGATCAGCTAAATAAGTTTGACTCATTTTTTAGTTTTTAGTGTGGTTGTAAAATGGAGTTAGGGAATAAAAACACCACAAATAAGAGAGACTTCTTAAATGCATAGCCACGTTAACTGTGACAAAGAAGCCCGTAATCTGCTTAAGGTCACAGCAAATTTCAATACATTTTGCAGCTGTGCCCCAGAAAGGGATTAAAACTTGTTCTTGCCTTAAATAATTTAATCACCTGAATTATGTGCTTTATTGCTTATTTGAAATATGGCAGTAAATTAGAAAGTAGGTGCTTTAAAAGCACTACTAGTAGCTTTATGCCTTTGGGATAAGAATAATTGGAATTCTGTGAATGTTTGGTTTGGGGATTGGGAAGCCAAGGGTGGAAGCTATATTGATATATCTGTCTCTCACTGAATTTCGAAATCCCAGTAATGTCTCATATATGGTGGGAACACAAGAAGTATTTGTTGGATGCATGAACTTGGAAGGGAAATGTTATTTGTTTTGCTGCAGTACATCATCTCGTAGTCAGCATTTCTGGGTTCGATTATTTCATGAAAATATGTGTTTATGTGTGCCTAGTCCCTAAACACCATGAAGATTTACATTGCCCTATGCAACTGGATATTTTCCAAAGGTAGACTGTTCTTTGTTAGCTCTATATGAGGTCAGAAAAGAAAAACAATAAAGGAAACAAAATTGCTTTTCTTGACCAGGACTTTTTTTATGAAGACATGGAGTCCTTGACGCAAGTGCTTAGGGCCTTGGCAACAGATGGAAATAAACATCGGGCCAAAGTGGACAAGAGAAAGCAGCGGTCAGTTTTCAGAGATGTCCTGAGGGCAGTGGAGGTAGGCTTCTTAAATGCTGTAATAGCTTCTCATTTTGAATTGGATTGTGTCAGGCTACTAAACTTGACAATTGGGCCATTTTGCTGATTGAATTTCACCTTTGAAAATAAAATATATTTTATTATTAAAATATATAAAAATGTTTTTAATATTTTTATGTATTTAATATCTTATTAAAATATATAAAAATATTATTAAAATATATAAAAATATTATATAAAATATATTTTACAGCCTAGCAGGTGTTTAACAATATAAGTGAAGACTTTTGTTTTTTTCAAAGGAAAATCAATGCTGGTGTATAAAGATACTTTATTTTAGTTTTTTTCTTTTAAATCAAGAGACTCATAGTGATAGAAATGTATTTGACCTTGGTATATTTGTTATTTAAACAGTGGTGCTTAGCATATACATTCTTAGTGTACAGTGTTTTTTGTGAATTTAGTAAGTTATTGCCTACCCCTTAGACTCCAACCCAGCTTCATTGTCTTTTATTTGTTTGTTTATTTATTTATTTGAGATGGAGTCTCGCTCTGTTGCCCAGGCTAGAGTGCAGTGGCACGATCTCGGCTCACTGCAACCTCCGCCTCCCGGGTTCAAGTAATTCTTTGCCTCAGCCTTCTGAGTAGCTGGGATTACAGGTGCCCACCACCACGCCCGACTAATTTTTTGTATTTTTAGTAGACACGGGGTTTCACCATCTTGACCAGGCTGGGTCTTGAACTCCTGACCTCGTGATCCACCCGCTTCAGCCTTCTGAAGTGCTGGGATTACAGGTGTGAGCCACCGTGCCAGAGCTCTTCATGATCTTTCTAGGAAAGCTGGAGGCTAAAAACTGAAATAACAAAACCCAGCATTTTAACAAGGCCACTTAAAATCATTATCTGATGCTTGAATTTCTTCTATAATTCTCAAACCTGTTTCAATCTATATGGCAAATAAGTTGGTTTAGAATGCATGGCTAAAATGAAATATAGGACAAAAGATAGTCTCACTGGAGAAAACTGAAAACTTTAATAATTGTTTTTGGTAACCCAGGTAAATATTTTTTGGATTTAAAGGGTGTGTTTCTTAGATTATTGCTATCTGATGTAGCAGTTATTTTAAGAATATCTTCAAAATGTCATTCTACTTGATGTGTGTATGAAAATTTAAAATGAGAATTTAAACTGGAGATAGTGAGACCCCACACCAGATCCAGTTTTAATATGTTCCAGGGAATTCTTATATGTACCCTACTTTCTTAATTTTAATCTATTTTTAGAAAAGTAAAATCTAGGATACAAATTAGATCCTTTGGCATTTAAATACTTTGGTTAATGCTGACTTATCACTTTATAGTAGTATTTTGTATTTACTCTGGATATTATAGTCTAAAAAACAAAAAACCTAACTAGAGCAAGTATCCATATTAAGAATTAAAATTAGTCTTATAATTAGTGTGGCAGTATCTCTAAAGTAAGCCATTTTCTTTAAGTAACTATAAACTATTCTTATATTTAGGTTTGTTTTTGAGATACTATAGTCTTCAAAAATATGATGACATGTCCCAGATTTTCTGGATGGACCTGATTTCAAGTTTTCTGCCCTGATGCGTCACCTTTGAGTAGTAGATTGTAAGGGTCTCTACTGGCCGTCAAACTGGGCCAGCCATAGCACTCAGTATTGATTATTCAGAGGAAGACACAAGTGACATTTCAGCCTACACCAGTATTAACAGCCCGTTGTTGCGTATTCCTCAGACACTGTTAAATGGAAGCCATTCCTGTGCTATAGTGATCTACCTGCCCACCTTCTTTTCTTCATCTCAGGATCTCCCTTGTCCCTCCAGCCTCTGCTTCAATGCACCTGCCTGAGAAAGTCCTGTCCTCAGGACCTTGCTAAGGGTTGTTTCTCTTTTTCTTTTCACTGGAACCTAACTTTTTCTGGAGTACCCAGCTTCTCAGGTGGGTCTTTTAAATGAAGGTTGCTCAACTGCCACAAAGGAGATGTAAACATCTTAGGTGTCGTAGTGGCTGCCACACCATCTCTTTTCATTTAAAACCTTTCTTGAGGCTCATGCATTCCTCAAATCAGTGAGCACTTAATATTTTAGGTGTTTTGCCATAGTTTTCTTATTTCATTTCATTACACCTCTTAAGCAATAGAATTGTCTCCTTTTAAAGGAGAAATGGGGACCAAAGGAATAGAGAATAGTTAAGTAGCAGAGCTGAAATTTGAACCCACTGTTCTGTGCTCTTTGAGCATGGCTCAATCCTGTATACAGATAGGTCAAGTGAGAGAGTAACCAGTTTCACTTAGGTCTGTCAATTAGGTGCTTGGTGACCTTTATAAGAGCAGCTTCAGTGGACTGATGAGGGAAAAGCCATTGAAAAGTGAGAAGTGATTAAGTGAAGATGGTATGCCTTGACTATTTTAAAAACCTTGGCTGTAATGGGAAGGGAAAGAGAGTTGATAGTTGGAATGTAGTGGTGGATTGCAGGAAGGTTTGTTGTTTTGTTTTGTTCTAGATAATAGAGACAATTTATGGAGAAGGAACCAGTGGAGAAAGGAGCATCTGAAAATGTAGTCTGTTTCTTAGTATCCATGAGGCATTGGTGCCAGGATCCCCCTCAGATACCAAAATTTGAGTATTCAAGTCCCTGATATAAAATGGCATAGTATTTGCATATAACCTATGCACATATACTTTAAATCATCTGTAGATTACTTATAATACTTAATACAATGTAGGTGCTATGTAAATAGTTGTTGTACTTTATTGTTTAGGGAATAGTGAAAAGAAAGAATAGTCTGTACATGTTCAGTGTAGTTGCAATTTTTTTCTGAATATTTTCAATCCATGGTTGGTTGAATCCATGATGCAGAACCAACCAGATATGGAAGATTGACTATATATGTAAAAGATTGGGATTAACCTTGAATTGTGGAGGGACAGAAGTCTATCTGTTACCACCGAGAGAGACGATAATAGGTAAGGATGCTGATGACTTTATAGAGGGTTGGTGGGAAATAGTTCTTTCCTGGTGCCTTAATGTTTTCTGAAATAAACAAGGTTAAAATAAGATAACTCTGCTGTTACTTATTTATTTTTGAGCTGCTGTTACCCACCAGATGGTCACTGTGTTTGCCTCACATGTGTGTCCTCTTTTACACCTGTAATAACCCTCATGCAGTGTAGGTAAAGATGGCCCCATTTTACGGGCAAAGGAACAGACTCAACAAGGTTAAGTTACTTGATGAAATCACAAGCCCGCAAATTGCCTGTCTCTGTTGTCTAGAGTTGACGGTCTTTTCTATTACATTATATACTTTGTCTGCTGAGTGAGAAGGGGCTGAGGTAGATGTCTGGAAGGCAGGTGGAGTGGTTTTGTCCTTCAAGTTCCGTCTCCTTTCTCCTCTCCCTGTGGCAGTCAGCTTCTTCCTTCTTGGTTGCTCTGACATATTCATGATTTACCAAAGAATTAAGTAACCAGTTTTCTTCTTAACAAGTTCTGCCACTATTCCAGCTGACTTTTCTTTATCCATCTAACTTATTTCCGTGTCATTTGGGCTGCACTCCCGTGGTTATACCTTTGAAATGGTCTTCTGACAGAATTGTTCCATTACTAAATCTTAGATTCTAGTGTTACCTCTTATTTTCTTATAAACCTAGCCTGAAACCTCTTGGAGCCCTCTGGTTGCTGGACCTTTCCTTTTTGCTTGGTCAGAACCCTATTTACCCTCACTTTCTTCCCTGGATCCCTGCTGCTCATCATTTCACCACCCCCTGTTTGTGGTGCCATTGTGTTTTCCTGACTGTTTGCAACTTTCTTCCCTCTCCCATCCTAGGCCATTAAAAACACCTGACCTTTTTTTTAAGTTTGTTGAGACATGTTGAAATTTAAAGGTGTTCTCAACAATGTGGTTTTTTGCCTTAATAGTTATTGAAACTCAGTTGAGCCTTCAAGTTTATCAAAACTAGACCAGTTCTGTACCCTTACATACAGGATAGCAATAGTTTGTCTACATCTCAGGTATGACAGTATCAGTTTAAGCCATATTGTTAATTTATCTCAGCATGTATATGACTGTTTAGAAATTGTGTTTACATAAGATCCCTTTGGGCCATTTTAGTGCCTGTGGTAATTTTGGCTCTTCCATTGGTTAGGAACGGGATTTTCCAACAGAAACCATTAAATTTGGTCCTGAACGCATGTATATTGATTGCTGGGTAAAAAAACACACCTATGACACCTTTAAGGAGGTTCTTGGATCAGGGATGCAGTACCACTTACAGGTAAGTATCATCCTTTTTGCGTATTTGCTTTTAAAGTAGGGAGCAGTCTTGAATGTAGCTCACTTAATTGGCTCTTGAAATGAATTAGGTATCCAGAGTGCTTCCATGTGTTAGAAAACAGTAAACTTATTTTTGAAAGTAGACTTAAATCTGAAGCTGTTCCTTTTTTTTCTCTTTGTATTGTTAAAGTTGGGTGGACTGTTACCGATGTCTGTATGAAAGCAAACAGCTTGACATAGCTTTCTCGGATTCAAGGCATTGAAAACAATTTGCTCTCATATTAAGAAACAGAAAATAAGTGATCTAAGTTTATATCTGTAGGTTCCACATAACTTCTGTTAATCAGTCACTCTATCTGGTGAAAAAGAGCTATAACGTTTAATACTGAGCTGTATCACCTTTTTCTTTGACATAAGTCAAATGAATTCCTTCGAAATGTATTTGAACTTGGACCCCCAGTGATGCTTGATGCTGCAACACTTAAAACGATGAAGATTTCTCGTTTTGAAAGGGTAGGTTTTGTTTTTATTTTTAATAAAACTAAATGCGCCAAAACTTTGATTCTGTCTGGTTTCACCAAGTTAGCTGTGTCTACCTATACTTGGGAGTTTCAGTTTTTCATGATGTTTCATATAGAACAGCTGTACTAAAGATATAGAAAGCATGTAGAGTGGGGGGGCATATATATATATACACATACACACATAATACACTTGGATATGTACACACACACATATATATATATGTCAGCCTGAGTGACAGGAGTGAGACCTTGTCTCAAAAGGAAAACGGAGAAAATAATATTGCAGCTTGTTTGCCCGTGAGATATATTTCTTTCATTTTATGAAACATATTTTGACAACACATTAAAATGTAATATGTACGTATATATTTTACGTATAATCCTATCTTAATATAGGAATGATGTTCATATTTTGTTTCTTTTTATTCTATGGAGTTTTTATGTTTAAGAATAAGGGTTTACATAGTCCTTTTGTATCAAATAATAGCCTACTAAGTGAAGTACCAGACTCATTTTACAAATGAGGAAACTTAAGAGGGTTTGTAGCATTAAATAGTAATTAGTATCATTTTTACTTAACATTTCTTGTTGTTGTTGTTGTTGTTGTTGTTTTTTGAGACAGAATCTTGCTTTGTCGCAATCTCAGCTCACTGCAACCTCTGCCTCCTATGTTCAAGCGATTCTCCTGCCTCAGCCTCCTGAATAGCTGGGATTACAGGTGTGCACTACCACACCCAGCTAATTTTTGTATTTTTAGTAGAGATGGGATTTTGCCATATTGGCTAGGCTAGTCTCGAACTCCTGACCTCAGGTGATCCACGCACCTTGGCCTTCCAAAGTGCTGGGATTACAGGCATGAGCCACCACGACGAGCCTAAATTTCAGAAATCCTTAATTTATGTATATTATTTTGTGTTGAGATGAAATTCACATAACAGACTATTTTAAAGTATACAGTTCAGTGGTACTTATTACATTCATGATGATGTGCAACTCTAGTTCCAAAACATTATCACCTCAAAAGAAAACCCTCTCTTCATTAGCAGTCACTTCCCTTGTGCTACCTGCCGCCACTGGCAACCACTAATCTGCTCTCTGTCTCTGTGGATTTACTTTTTCTGGAGATTTCATATAAATGGAATTGTATAGCATGCAACCTTTTGTGTCTGACTTTTTTCATTTATCATAATGCTTTGGAAGTTCATGTTGTAGCGTGAATCAGAGAGCTTTATTCTTTTTTGTGGCAGAATAATATTCCATTGTATGGATATATATCACATTTTGTTTATCCATTGTAACAGTTGATGGACATTTGGGCTGTTTGCATCTTTTGGCCATTGTGTGAAAAGTGTTGCTCTCAACATTCACATACAAAATTTTTTTTTGAAAGGCTGTTTGCAATTTTGGGAGGTATTACCTAGGAGTGGAATTGTGCTGGGTCAGATGATAGTTTTACATTTAACTTTCTCAGAAACCACCAAACTCTTTTCCATAGCTGCTGCACCAGTTTACATTCCCATCAGCAGTGTAGAAAGGTTCCAGTTTCTCCACATCCTCACTAATAATTATTTTAATTATAGCCATTGTGGTGAGTATGAAGTGTTTGGTTACACTTTATAGAACATAGTTGTTTCTTGTATGGCATTTTAAGTTTTGTAAGAAACATTAATATTTTTACATACTTTTCTCTTTTGAATAATTTTTTTTGAAGAAATCCCCTGCATAATGTATTGCCAAATTACCTTCCAAAGTTACTCTAATATTGGAGACAATATTTAAATTGTCTCTAGCAATGAATGAAGGCATGTAGTTGTTACACAAAGATTTGACACCTTCAAGTTTTATAATTTAAAAACTTTAATTGGTATTAAAATGGCAGCTCATCACCTCGTCACTTTTTTCCTTGTTGTTTTAGTTGACAGCCAAGTAGGACTGTTTTCCACATTAGTCATGATTTGTCTTTTCTTGGATGAAGCTAAATGTTGATGTCCTTTTTTCACTGTTGTTTTTTGAAATTGTCTTATTTTCGGCCGGGCTTGGTGGCTCAAAAACTAGCCGGGCGAGGTGGCGGGTGCCTGTAGTCCCAGCTACTCGGGAGGCTGAGGCAGGAGAATGGCGTAAACTCGGGAGGCGGAGCTTGCAGTGAGCTGAGATCCGGCCACTGCACTCCAGCCTGGGCGACAGAGCTAGACTCCGTCTCAAAAAAAAAAAAAAAAAAAAAAAAGAAATTGTCTTATTTTCTTGGCGTTTTGCAAGTTGATTAGTGCTTTTCTGAATATGGAATAGCCATTAACTTTTTTTTTTTTTTTTTGAGACGGACTCTAGTTCTGTCTCCCAGGCTGGAGTGCAGTGGTGTGATCTCGGCTCACTGCCACCTTTGCCTCCCGGGTTCAAACGATTCTCCTGCCTCAGTTTCCCGAGTAGCTGGGACTACAGGCACGCCCGGCTAATTTTTTGTATTTTTAGTAGAAACGGGGATTCACCATGTTAGCCAGGATGGTCTTGATCTCCTGATCTCGTGATCCACCCACCTTGGCCTCCCAGAGTGCTGGGATTACAGGTGTGAGCCACCTCACCTGGCCCCCATTAACTCTTTGTTTTTCTCCTTCATTCTTTGTGTGTATTTTATAAAAACGTTTAAAGGTTTATAGGTTCAAATTAGTTCATTTCTTTTCTTTGTGACTTTTACCCTTTTTCAGTTTTATAAGAATATCTTAAGTCTTACTGATGCATATTTTTCCTTTTCTTCATTTCAGCATTTATATAACTCTGCAGCCTTCAAAGCTCGAACCAAAGCTAGAAGCAAATGTCGAGATAAGAGAGCAGATGTTGGAGAATTCTTCTAGATTTTCAGAACTTGAAGACTATTTTCTAATTTCTATTTTTTTTCTATTTCAATGTATTTAAACTCTAGAGACGGTTTTTATCTTGGATTAACTTAGATAACTTTTGTAGTAGGAGTTATATTGCTTATAATTTAATGTACAGTATTGAAACTGTTGCGTTCTGATTATTAAATATTCTCTGTAAATCAGTAAACATGTATAAAGTGTTTGTAATGTCATAATTGGTCATAATTTATTTACGAAGACAGCAAAAAACTTTGATTTCATGATGGGGAAAACTATTAGCCAAAGTTTAATTTCTTACACTGTGGTTGTCAAAAATACTGATTTACTATAATGATATATACATACAAGATATTTAACTTAATATCTTAGACAAGAGTTCTGGATACAATTTTGGGATCTAGTTCCCTGGGAAAGCTGCTGTATTTTTAATTTTTAATGGAATGTAGCTTTTAAAATCCTGTCATTGGCATCAACAAAAGGAATTATGCCATGAGACCTTACAGTTGTACTTAAAAGCCATTCAGTTCAGCTACTGGGAGTTCACGATGAATTAGCATATGCCAGAAAGGTTGCTAACCTTAACGTCTGAGAGCAGTAACACTGATTTTATCTGCTGTATGAGACTTTGTGCATTTTACTTTGAAATAAAGTTTTTTTTCACACTGAAAGTGCTTCTCTTCTAATAGAAGAAACTTTATTTATGGCTTTGAGGTACAGAGTCCAAAATGACTAGGCCAGGTGGGCAGGGAGACAAAACTTTATGTATATATTTGCAAACATTAAAGTAGATGAAAAGAATGTAGCAATACATAATTGGGATTAAGGTTTCTGACTTTCGAGAATATTACTGCTTGGCAACGTGCAGTGGCTCATGACTGTCAGCACTCGGAGGCTGAGGCGGGAGGATGGCATGAGCCCAGTTTGAGACCAGCCTGGGCAACAGCGAGACCCTGTCTCTACTAGAAATTTAAAAAAATGAGTGTGGTGGTGTGTGCCTGTACTCTTTATCTACCTGGGTGCTGAGGCAAGAGGGTAACTTGAGCCCAGGAGGTCAAAGCTGCAGTAAGCCGCGATTGTGCCACTGCGCTCCAGCCCGGGTGACAAGAGTGAGGCCTTGTCTCAAAAGCACAACAGTAAAAAGAATATTGCTGCTTGTTTGCCCATGAGGTTTATTTCTTTCATTTTGTGAAAAGCGTTTTGACAGCACATTCACATTTAATAAACTTTAGATTAAAATACATAGTGCAAGCAACGTGCCATTTCAAATCCGTAGAGTTGTTTCTTTGATACTCTTGGTGTAGGTCACAGTGAGGAATAGGGAAGCATATACACTTTAGGGAGAAGTATCAAAATCATTTAAGGTCTTTTTTCCAAACTAGTGTTCCTCTCCAACATCCAACAACTCTTGGAAGTCTGGTGCTCCCTCTAGGTGAAAACCATTTGCTGTCGTATGGAGTCACTGTTGCTGAGTTCCATCCCCCAATTACAGTACAGTGGAAAACAGGTTTAGAATCTAGAACTTGTTTGTATGTTGTCACTTGGTTATATTCCAAGTAGGTTAGAACCATGGAAAAGAGATTGCAAATGGTATAGTTTCTTCTAAATATTCAATTGCATATATTTATGTATATGTAATTATAAATAAAAATGAATTTTTATCGAACTGTTACATGAACATAGGTTTTTGTAGGTTTTTGAGACAGAGTCTCGCTCTGTTGCCCAGGCTGGAGTGCAGTAGCGCAATCTTTGCTCAGTGTAACCTCTGCCTCCTGAGTTGCTGGGATTACAGGTGTGTTCCCCCACACCTGGCTAATTTATATTTTTAGTCGTGATGGGGTTTCACCATGTTGGCCAGGCTGGTCTGGAACTCCTGACCTCAAGTGATCCACCTGTCTTGGTCTCCCAAAGTGTTGGGATTACAGGCATGAGCCACTGTACCCAGCCTGAACATAGTTTAATGGTACTTCAAGGCTAATACGGAAAGCCCCTTGCTCCATCCTTTCCCATTCCTCAGTCCCATCCCGGGAGATACTCAGCCTTCAGTTTTTTCTGACTCGTATTTTTCAGCCTTCAGTTTTTGGTTTTAGTTTTCTAAATAATAGGATGATACAGCCATTTATTTTTTAGGCATTTGTCCACTTACTATTAAGACAGGTGAAAATTTCTTTTATCCTCTCACATCCTTCTAATATTTTGATTAGATCATGTACTTGTTTGCATAACTGTGATCATACTTGTATGTTCACTCATGAACTAGTTTAGTGTGCTTACATTTTCATTCTCATACAACATTTTGTCTTGGAGTTAATTGTCTTATTTTTTGGCTTTTTATGCATATCATTGATTCTTCCCAAACAGTCCCAAATAAATTTGTTACAACTTCTCTTGATTTTGTACTTGTTTCAATCTAGACTAATTTCTCTCATCCAGTTGTACAGCAGTTTTCCGGAGACAGCACTATCGTGAGGATTTGTTTTTCTTTCTCTTGAATTGGATCCCTCATTTTCTGGATCCCGTGTCTTAATTTAATTCTTTGTTAACATGGAACACTTCTTTCAGTAGTTACCTGGGAATGAGTGCGTGAGAGATCAGTTATTTAGTGACTTCATATTTCTGAAAGATGGTTTGCATGGTATAAGAAATTCTAGGTGGAAAATCAAATTTAGAATTTTTGAAAATTTTGACAAGTGTAATCAAATTCAGAATTTTGAAGGTATTGCTCTATTCTAATTTGCAAAATCTTGAGACATCTGATGCAGTTTTTATTTTTGTTTCTTTGTTTTCTCAGAATCTCTGTTTCTCGTGTTCTAAAATTGCATGATACTGTTCTTTGATGGGTTTGGCAACCTGGAAAATATTAAGTTCTTGATCTCTCCCCTTCCTCATTTTCTTTGTTCTGGAACACCATGACATAGTGGAGCTCCCAAATTGAATCTTGGGCTGTATTTTTTTTTTTTCTGTCTGGGATATTTCTCTAAGACAATTTTCCAATTTGTACTGCATTTTATTTTTGGCTAGCATTAAATTACTTGTCTCTGTGTAGCTCCACGCTTCACTCTTACCTCTAAATCCTAGGCCTACCTGAATTCTGCAGAGTCAGTCCCACTGCTACTCACCGTGATAGCCCTGCTAAGGCAGATACCACTCTTCTTACCATGTTCAATACATTTGTTGAGCTCTTCTGTATTGTTTCTTCCTATTTTAATTTTTCTGGTTTGTAATTTGTACTCCTGCTTTTTTACTGGGCTTTTGGGAGGAAGAAGGTATAGAGTGTTCATTTGCATGTTGAGGTTATATGCAGGTGACTTTATGAAACTTGTGGTAACTGCTAGACAAGGGTGGCTGGGTGTTCAGTGTGTAAGAATGCTTGTGTTTTTTTGAAAGTAGAAAAATGCTGTGTGATAGACTAGTTGTTCATTGCTTGATTCTTGATTAATTTTGCCTACTTTCATTATTTTGAGGCTCAAGCATTTTGAAGTATTCATTGTCTGTGACTCCTCTTTGATGGGTACTAAATTTCCTGGGAGTGAATTTAGATACCTGAGATGTAATATATGAAAGGAAAAGCAAATGCTTGAGAATGTCCCTAGATTAGACACTTCATGTGAGAATATTTCTTTTTGTGACCCAAAACTTTTTTTTTTGAGATGAAGTTTCGTTCTTGTTGCCCAGGCTGGAGTCCAATGGTATAATCTCCTGCCTCAGCCTCCTGAGTAGCTGGGATTACAGGCAAGTGCCACCAAACCCAGCTAATTTTGTATTTTTAGTAGAGACAGGGTTTCTCCATGTTGGTCAGGCTGGTCTCTTAACTCCCGACCTCAGGTAATCTGCCTGTCTCAGCCTCCCAAAGTTCTGGGATTATAGGCGTGAGCCACCACGCTTGGCCCCAAAACTCTTCTTAAAGGTGGCCTTGCAGGTACATTATAGTTAAAATGAAGTAGGTTGTCTTGCTTTGTTCTTAAGTGGCTCTCCAGAAGTCTAACTGGTCTAGAGGCAGTCTTATCCCCCTCACTGGTGTATAGTTGAATTCAAACTTGAATGTGAGGTTTGGGTTTACATCTCATCTCTGCCACTTATAATCAGTGTATCCCTCAACAGTTAAATTCCTTAGTCTCCATGTTCTTCCCCCTTCAGGGGAGGTTAATATTCCACAAAGTTAGAAGATTACAGGAGAGAGGAAAAGTAGTAAATGCCCCAAAATGAGGCAGTTACTTCTATTATATCTTCGAAGGATAGATGGTTTAAGGCAGATCAGGTAGTTGGGAGATTTCTTAAAATCAGCATGATAAGAGCTAACATGAACATTTTCATTATTCAGAAAAATATGACATAGATTTTTAACGTATAATATGTTTCTGAGAAAAGCTACTAGTTATATTGTCTTCGTCCAAGAATTGGTCTTTGGGTACAGATGAGGCTTGAGAAAATGACATTCCCTCTTAGACTAGGTAGTGTGAAGGGGGAAAATAAAATGACATTCCTCTTCCCCCAAAGCCGAGTGAGGTCCATATGGGATATAGGTGTAAAGAAAATTTTGGACTGGGCATGGTGGCTCATGCTTGTAATCCCAGCACTTTGGGAGGCTGAGGTGGGTGGATCACTTGAAGTCAGGAGTTCAAGACTATCCTGACCAACACGGTGAAACCCCATCTCTACTAAAAATAAAAAAATTAGCCGGGCATGGTGGCACATGCCTGTAATTCCAGCTACTCGGGAGGCTGAGGCAGGAGCATCCAGAGGCAGAGGTTGCAGTAAGCTGGGATCATGCCCCTGCACTCTGGCCTGGGTGACAGAGCAAGACTCCAACTCAAAGAAAATTCTGTGGAACACATTTTCTCACTGACATGAAAAATGTTTCAAAGATGAATAATGTCTATCAAGCCATGGCAATGGAAGTGAGGATGATAAAGGATTGCACAGCTGTGTACAACCTCACTGTTAGTATCCTGCTGGTATAGTTGGTCTCCTCATCACTGTAGCATCTTTTATGTACAGCAGAGGGCAGAAGCTCCTTGGCATGTATGTGAGGGAACCACATAAATGGAAGGCTGATATTCCTGAGAAAGGAAGATGTGCAAACACTCACAGAATAAAGCCTTTGTAAAGGAAAAGCGGCTGATGAGATGGAGTGCTTCCTTCACCTGCGGTGGGTCTGTAGCCATGAAACCGCCCACTCACAATTGCTTTTTGTAGCTACTGGAAGCACTAGGCCTCTGACCTGTCATCATCCTTGTTATGATGTCATAATCATATTCTGTCCCTGTTTATTGCAGTTCTCTGGTTTGTCTGGAGTGTTTGCAAGTCAGTCATCATAGTGGCAGATTCTGCCTGCTACAGGATATTTATATATGGAAACATACCATGGCAGGAGTGCTGGAAAGGTGGTGCCAGCTTACACAGTTGCTTCAGCCAAATAAGGACGGTAACTTCAAGCCAATAAAAACCTCATCAGTTACCAACTAAATCAGGACATGGTGTTTTTTTGTTGTTTTCTTTTTAAAGCATAGTTTTAGTAATATGTTTACTAAAAACCTTAGACATTATGAAAAAAGTCAGGATTTGGAATCTTACACTGCTTGGCTAAATTAAGACTAAATATAGACCAACAGTTTCACACTGGAGCTTATGGGCCTCATAGGAGCACCTGTATGCTGGAGAAAGGCAAAGAGAGAACTACAGAATTTGTAGAAACGTTTTGTTGTGGTTGCTTCTGAACAATTAGTTTTTGTTTGTTTGTTTTGTTTTTCTGGTAACCTAGCAGTCAAAGCTCACATTTTTGTAAGTAACTTGCATGCTATTACTCTACTGAGACTGAATTAGTATTATTGAGTCTGGGAAGTTTTTGTTGCATGTGCTGTGTTTTTCATTTTTGATAGAAATGATTTAGACTTGATTTTAAAAATTACTTCCTGAACATGAAGAGGCATTGACTTGGAAATGAAATTAAAGAACAAATTACCATGACTTATTCAATAAAACTACTTATTAGCTTTGCATTATGCCCTATTATAACTATTCTGATTTTGTGGCAAGCAATACTGGTGTGAGTTATTTCTATGGTTTGATACCAAGCACCTGTGGTTAAAAAATTAAAGCACAAGGCAATTTTTCATAGACAATTATCTTTATTTGTCAGAATATTTATTTGTAAATAGCAAAATAATTCTTAAATGACAAAAAAATCAACTGTTAGCAGTGATCTAAACCAGAGGAAAATTAAATTACTTACATGTTTCCAGTCAAGGTATAAGAAAGGGTTCTGTTAAAGGGATTCTGCTTTAGCCAATCTTGGTGAATAAGAAATTTGCACACTGGAGTTGAAAAGGAGGGTCAAATTAGTGTGATGAAGAATAGCTAGTAACACTGGCTTCTCCAGGTTTGCTGGTTGTTCCTAGATGCCCTCATTTGGAGATGCCAAAGATAGCAACTACTGGGTGTCAAACAGCTGTGGGGCCTGGTTTTAGGCCCATGTGACCTTGTATCCATTTACTAGCAGACTCATGAGTCATTTGCAAGTCATTTGCAGGCTCTTGGAGCCCTGGAACAGCACCCATCTCAGTTTTCTGTGCTAGTTCTTTATTTTTCCACTTGCATGTTGCAGTTCATTAAAAAAAAATTGGAATAGCATATATTTACATTGTGACTTCACTCTAAAGAAGACATTTTCTTTCAGAGCACATCATGGCTCACTAGGTTGCTGTCTTAGTTTTTTTGGAGTCACCTTTTGAGTAGATAGCAAGGCCAGTAATTTGGAGATTTTATTAGCTGTACTTTTTTTTTTTTTTTAAGACAGAGTCTCACTCTGTCGCCCAGGCTGGAGTGCAGAGGTGCGATCTCAGCTCACTGCAAGCTCCACCTCCCAGGTTCACGCCATTCTCCTGCCTCAGCCTCCCGAGTAGCTGGGACTACAGGCACCCGCCACCTCGCCTGGCTAGGTTTTTGTATTTCTTAGTAGAGACAGGGTTTCACTGGGTTAGCCAGGATGGTCTTGATCTCCTGACCTTGTGATTCGCCCGTCTCGGCCTCCCAAAGTGCTGGGATTACAGGTGAGAGCCACCAGGCCTGGCCTATTAGCTCTACTCTTAAAGTCAGTTTTTGTGGCTGTGATTTTTTAGCTAGGTCTCTATTTTGTAAACATTAATTAAGCCTCAGTATGAAACTTAAGCAACAGCAGATACATTCCTGAAGGGGAAGCTAAGGCTCAAGGCTATTAAGTCAGAGATCCAAAAATAACCATGCTTCAGTTACCACACCTAAAATAGAAGCTGTGTGTGGAACAATGGTCCTGTAATGTGGCACATAAAACATTTTTTCCTGGTCAAATATTACTGTTTCGTCAAATATTAGTATAAATAAATGATAAAATATAAAACACGTCTAAAAGAATTGTTTTAAAATCCGTGACTAGGCGTGAGTGAATATTTTGGGGCCTTGGATTTATCTGCAAAAGGATAAGATTCTAAGGCCCTTTTACTCTGTTTGTTGCTGCTTTTTAATTTTTTAAAATTGTCATATCAAGTCATAGGAATGCTCTATGAAGTATATTTGGAATTCAGTAATATCAATAAAGTGCTACGGTAGTATCTTATCTGAAAACTCAGGGAATTGTTTGTTTTTATTAATTAAAATTTCAGGATAAGTGAAACATACTTTTTTAGCTTTAACTCTAAAAAATACTTTAGTCCACGACTTTTTGAGCTCACTTTCTTAGCTAGGGTTCTGGTAGCATATTTTTCACAAGTACCAGTAGTTTTAGGTATTACTGGGAAACTGCTGTTTTTGTTTGTTTGTTTGTTTGTTTGTTTAATATTTTAGACTATAGTTTAAGTTGCTCAGTAAATGTCTGATACATTTTCCCCCATATCTTCTTTAGGTGTATACTTTTTTTTTTTTTCTGAATTTGGTTTCTCCCAACTCTATATTTCTCTTCATTCTGTAGTTGAGTTTTAAAAGAAATTTTTGCAATAACAGGAAGTACACAGTGTGTTGTCAAATATGCACAGGCACCATATTTTATCGCATTGACTTTATAGAGTCCAGATAGACATTACATGAGGATTTTTATCCTCAATCTTATTTCTGTTCATGTACTTATTATTAACTGCCTCCAATTCTTTTGAAAATGGTGAGATTTAAATCCTAAATAAACATTTCAGGTGTTCCATCTTAACATAAGTCGCCAACTTCTAAACCTGGCACTGGGAATTTGAAGAATAGGATTGGTCCCTACTCTAAGGAGTTTTCAGTCTATCGGGGGAAATCAAAGATGTAAGCAAATAAGTGCAATAAAATACTATAGATGTTCTGATAGAAGAATGTAAAGAATCCAACAAAGGCAAAAGGAAAGACAGGTTTGTTCTGTCTTCTTAGGGGAAGTGATGTTTGAGCTGAGTCTTGAGGCAGGATTAGGAAGGGATATAGAAAAGAAAAGTAGCACAAAGCAAGACTCAGTGAACGCTGAACAAAAGGCCTGATTCCAGCTCTGCTACCAGGCAAATGTGTGATCCTGGGCATTTACCTCGCCGAGCTTCCATTTCCTCATTTGCGGAAAGGATGGGGGCTAAAGCACATCTAACACCATTTCTAGATCGAAAAGTCCTCTATCATGATTAGACTCGATAACCATGAAAGGAAAAGCTTTTATAGTAATTGAAATTTGTCTTCCTAGAGCCTTCTTTTCACATAATTAAATGGCCACAAGTTCTCTGTTTTGCTAGAGATACATCTCCACATAAACCTTTTAAACTCACCAGGCTTTTCAGTGTTGCTTGCAGTTGTGCTGTCATTAGAGAATATTACTTTTAATATTTAATAAACCTCAAGCTATTTATTACATAAGTGACCTCAGTCTAAGGGAAACCCAGGTGGAAGAGATCTTGGAGGTCCTGAAGTCTAGCAGGATTTCTCTCTATAGCATCTAAGTTTGCTAAGATTGTTGTCCTGGGGACTCACAGTCAGCATCTTATGGCTAAAGGAAATGTGTGAAGGGAAGGACTTATATGCCATATGGAGGAAGGCTATAAAAATTGCAATTTTCTATTAAAGCCTCCTGCAATTAGAATGGTTCATGGTAATATTCTCTTCCTTCAGAATGTTTTATGGCCACTGCTGACTAGCTTAATTTTGTGTACCTAGTCTTCTTGCACAAAGGATTTGAGGCATCTCACCAGAATATGAACAATGTAATAAAAGAGAAAAATTTAAAAATCAGTTACAAAACAAAAAACAGATCCAGGGAAAGTATAGGCAGAGCTGAGAAATCTGAGGAGGAGAAAAGAGCATTTGCAGAGAAGCAGGGTGTACACGGATGTACAATTCTTAAAATTGGGCCACACATTTGACTGTGAGCTTCCTGGCAAGCAAAGCAAAAAGAACGATTACAAAGTGGTCCACAGAAGGAAATATTTTTTTTCTGGATAAGCCAAGTTCTCTAGACCCTTAGCTGAAAATAGTATTTGTGGGTGGTTCTTCATAGGCCCGTATGGCTTCCTGATGGCTGTGCTTCTTGTGAAGTTGAGTTCACAAGCCCAACCTCTTGTTTTTAACGTCAGTGTTTTCTTCCAGGGACAATGACTCATTCTTCCCAGGACACTGGTTCTTGTGGCATTCAGGAAGATGGAAAGCTTTATGTGGTGGATTCCATAAATGACTTAAACAAATTAAACCTCTGTCCAGCCGGATCGCAGCATCTGTTCCGTATGTGTGCTGGGGAAGGCAGAGCGGCCCCTCCTAGCTTCTAGGCTACCTAAAAATAGCCACTGCTGACTGGATGTGTGGATGTGGTGGGGGCGGAGTGGGCATTAGGAAGAGGTTGGCACTGGAAATGTTATTTGTTGTTAGGGAAGTTTTGCTTCTGTTTTCTGAACACTTGACAGGATTATGGGCTTTCTTGGCTCCAACACAAGATTTGAACTCTTGACTTCAAATATTCTGAGATCCTGGGGCCTCAGATCTCTGGAAAGGGGTGGAGCCTGCAAAGCTGGACTCCTGGAGGCTCGCTCATCCCTCTCCCAGTGACCATGGCTCGGTTACCGATGGGGACCGCTTCCCACAAGAGTGTTGTTTTATAGCAGATTTGCCAAGAGAATGCGCAATCCAGAGCATTTTCTACTTACAAATTACAAATTGTGCAATTAAGGGTTGGAAAAAGGGGGTGGGGGATGCAAAATAACATCTGCTAAATATTAAATGTGTATCTTGCCTCCTAAATATTATAAATGAGCTCTATCAGATCACTCTGAGCGCCATCTTTTCTAGCTTAAACGCTGACATTCAAACACCGGTGTTAATTGCTCACTTGCCATTTGTTTCATATACACTCTAAACTTATTGTCCCAATGTTATATCTATCATTTCCTGTCTAAACCCTTTCTAAATTCCTCCTTTTTCTTCATTTTAATAAGTTCAAATTTTCAACTGTTTTTATTGCAGTCAGTCTCAATAGAATTAGAAGTTTGGGTATCAGCCTACACTGTTGCTTTGATTAGGAAGCAAAAGTGACTGAAGAGTATGGCATAGGATGTACTTACAAGGCATGGGACATAAGCCACCCATCTGTCCATAATCACGTGGCACAGTGAGTGGGACCAATTCAACGTAGGAGAGTATGCAAAAAGTAATCCAATGATCTCCACTACCCCAGGTTTCTGTGTTGCTTATTCAATTTAATCTGGGTGTTATTAGGCAAGTAGACCTTGCAAAAATGGTGATTAAATGCAGACAATTCTTGGTTTGAGTGAACCAAGCTGTTGATAAAATGTAACTGCATTCTCAGTTCAACTGAACCTTGCTTCCAGAGCATATCCATCCAGAAGACAGCTTTAAGAGAACAATGAGAACACTTGGACACAGAAAGGGGAACATCACACACCGGGTCCTATTGTGGGGAGGGAGGCGGGAGGGATAGCATTAGGAGATATACCTAATGTAAATGACGAGTTAATGGGGGCAGCACACCAACATGGCACGTGTATACATATGTAACAAACCTGCACGTTGTGCACATGTACTCTAGAACTTAAAGTATAATAAAAATAAATAAATAAATAAAATTTATTAAAAAAAAAAAAAAAAGAAACCAAAATAGGTCAGGGCCATTTTTGTTTAAATGGATGTAGGCGTAACTGATTATTCCTATAATAAAAGAAGTTTCCAGGGAGATATCCCAGAGCATTCAATTGAGTCTTCCACCCGGCATAGGTGTCCCACACCCAGTTCTGTTTTACTCCTGGGTTACTTTGGGAAAGGGTAATAGAACTTCTATCACTCTTAGACTTTAACTTCTATATTCCCTTCCCCCACACACAAAAATTCATGTTCTGCTATTTCAGTGTTAAGACAGTCTTCAAAGAACTTTCCAAACAGGTCTAAGGCGATAGCTTAACCCTGCTTACTCCTTGAATACCAATAGAGAAGAGGGTAAATAATTCACAGATTTCTCTCTGCCCAAAGACATTCCTAAAACAGAAGTCACTTTCTAGGCTTGTCAGAGAGAAACTGGGTGTATCCATTACTCATGGTCTAACAGTGGGGTACTGTTCAGTTCTGCTGACAAGTTGTATGCTGAGCAGTTTTTGTCCTTGTTTTTTGTTTGTTTCGTATTAGCTCTAGAGGACAAAATCCCAGTCCTTGGCACAAACTCAGGAAATGGAAGCCGGAGTCTGTTTTTTGTGGGGCTGCTAATTGTGCTGATTGTCAGCCTGGCACTGGTTTTTTTCGTGATATTTCTAATAGGTAAGTACCACCACAGGTTTCTTTTTTATTGCTTGTATGCATTTATTCATAGCTGGCTGACTTTGCTCCTGCAGAGTTTGCACCCTCCAGTCAATGCTTCCCGGTGGTAAATGCTTACATTGAAAGAAGGAGGAATGCCTCGAGTGAACCCTGCTGGCTGAGGACAGGGTCCCTTGGGCACAAACCCACTGCGGAAGCCCACAGTGCCAGAAGTCCATGAATGTGTATGTTGAATAATTCTATAGCACTTTAATTTCTCACTTGGAGACTCTAGCTGCCCAATGGAAGGCAACTTATTTTGGTTGATTCTACCTTTACTTTATCCAATGCCCAGATTTCTCCACTAAATTCAGATCTATAACACATAGTCACATTGAGGCTTTGAACTGAACTCGCTCCCAGGTTTTCTCACTTGCATATCATCCTAGACATCAATGAGAAGCACTTGAGGGCTTGTACAAGGCCCCAGAGACAGTGTTGGAGATGTATAAATGTGGCTTCTTTCCAATTTGATCATGTTCAGGCAACCTGCTCCTAATATAACCTGCTTTGTCTGCTCCTGGCCTGGGTCATGCATGTTGTGACCTTGAGTGGTGACTCAGACTTCCCCACCTCAGCTTCTCAGTCAAGGATCCTTCAAGCCTCCAGCGCCGCCACCCTCTCTGCCTTGGATGTGGGAGGGGTGCTGTCCACCTGTGGTGCTGTCGCCCTGTTCTGAGCATTGCCTCTTCCCACGGAGCCCACAAGTTTCCCCTCTCATCTGGAATTATTTTAATTCTCTTCCAGATGACTTAAGAGTAGATGGAGCCTAAGGGAAGGTGTCATCTTTGATATGTTTTTGCCTGGGTGTACTGCACTGTCATTTCTTCCACCCCTGAGTGCTTTATAGCTTTTGGAAGGGCTCTAATTTAATCTCATTCAGGATTAGAGGAGGCAGAGGTGGTGATGATGATGAGAGGAGACAGGTGGGCAGAGTTCATGATGACCCTTTCACTACTTCCAATCCCATTTCCTCCCCTGAAGACTCCTCCCTCTTTGCAGCTTGAACGTCTTTAGCCTCTGGAGAAAAAGGGACTGGGAGGGCGGGGTCATGTTTAATTGCTTCTCTTGCACCTGGCTGATGCCCTTTTGCATTTAGAAGCTAACATGTGAACTATTTTTACAATAGTTGCAAACTTGCATCTGATGATCAGTTAGGGGAGGCTTGGCTACTGAACCAGCAATGCCAGAAAGAGCACATGGGCTAGTATTCTGAACCGTTACTCCAACATAAATTAATGCTGGGCATGTCATTCTACCACACCCGCCTGGGGGTAATAACCAAGTTAAACTGTTAGGAAATTTTAGGTATGTCTACAGACATGTAAACATCTCCCCAACCCGCCAAATTCTTTTTTTCTGTGAGATAAGTAGCAAGATTGAGGGAAATAATACTAAATGCTATATACTGAGTCATTACTCTGTCCCAGACACTGTGCTAAGCCCTTGATACCTCTTTGTTCACAACCTCGTAACAACTCTGTAGTGTAGAATCCATTATTATTATCATTATTATTATTATTATTATTATAAGATGAAATCTTACTCTGTTGCCCAGGCTGGAGTGCAGTGGTGTCATCTCAGCTCACTGCAATGCCACCTCCCAGGTTCAAGTGATTCTCCTGCCTCGGCCTCCCAAGTAGCTGGTACTACAGGTGTAAGCCACCATGCCCAGCTAATTTTTGTATTTTTAGTAGAGATGGGGTTCCACCATGTTGGCCAGGCTGGTCTCGAACTCCTGACTTCAGGTGATCCTCCCACCTTGGCCTCTCAAAGTGCTGGGATTACAGGTGTGAGCCACCACACCTGGCCAATTCCATTATTATTTTGGTTTTATGAATGCTGAAACTGAGGTTTAGAGAGATCTATTAATGTGGCCAAGGTCATGTTGCTAATAAGTGGCAAATTGGGGCTCAAGGACACTCCACTTGACATCAAAGACTATGTACTTTATCAACATCACTATGTTCCACTTGTATGAATAGCATATTTTATATTTGCCTTGAGTGTTTTTTTTATTGAAGACAAAGTCATATTAAGTGAGAAACAGAAAGATCAGGTGAATAAAGAAGAGTATCTTTTTATTGGACAATTGCTCTGTGTTGGATACATTAAGTTTATTATCTTAAATCTTTCCTCTAGCCATCTTAGAAAATTTAACTCTGATAAGCAACCTCAGAGTGTTCCATTCTGTATCTTATTTCCAAAGATCTTGTGTATTTGGAAAATATTGTTTTTCCATTCTAATGGGTGGTCTGAGGGGGAATGATTACACAATCATTTTGGGCCGGTAATTCAGAACAAGCAGACTTAGGTCAAAATAGGCTGGAACCCAAAGAATGTAATTTCTCAAATAAGGAGTGAAAACCTTTTTCTGAGAATGGGTCTCAGAATGAAGCAGCACAGCAATCACGTCTGGGAGGATAATCAAATATGCCGACAGTTTCCTGTGGTTGCTCACAGCAAGGTCTTTTTTAGCCATAATTGGTGTGAAGTTGCCAAAGGTAGCCTAGGCTGGCACCAAGAGATTGTAAAAACAATTCACTGGCTAGGAAACTTCAGTCTTCACCGGTTTCTCTCCTGGGCTTCTGGCATGCATGGATATGGGAACGGGGATTTGCCAAGAGTGTCTTTCAGCATCAGCTGAGCACCAGTGTGGGGCTCTGATGAATTTCAGTGGAACACAGTGGAAACCAATGTAACACGGTCTGTTTTCTGTTTTGAAGTTCAAACTGGAAACAAGATGGATGATGTGTCAAGAAGACTAACAGCTGAAGGAATAGACATAGATGATCTTAAGAGAATAAACAATATGATTGTAAAGCGACTCAACCAATTGGACTCTGAACAAAACTAAAGAAATTATTTTCTGAGAGCAACTGCTAACACCTTGAGCTTCTTACTTTCCTGGGAGTGTACAGGGTTAGGAACTGAGAAACTGCACTTCTTCAGGCAACAGGTGATCTGATCAGGGAACCCACCCCTGGGGCCCACTTTCTGCAGCAAGATGGGATCAACCCCAAGGCAAGTGGGTATGGGAATAGCAACTAAAAAGGGGTGAATTTGTCTCAGCCCCCTTTTATGGTAGGACACTTCATCTTTAATGGGGTTAAGGGTGGGCGGCTAGCAGGGAGGAGAATCAACAGAAGGCAAGAGAACTTGACTACGCACATACAGGTTCTTACCGAAGGAGCTTTGCTACCAGAACAAATTCACTGTGTCAGTGAAGTTCATGACATCTCATGCACCTTTACAGATGCCTGGGAAAGCCTGAGAAATTCATTGAGTTTTATGTGTTGAAGGGAACCAGGTGATTACTCTTTTCAATAAGATGGATTCTGCTCAGGTGATTAGAATTTAACTCTATTTCCCCAGGGACAGCAATGGGTGGGCCCCAGAGCTAGTTGCTGTCTAGTGTTTGCTGGTGAAAACATGAGCAGTAGTTATGGCATTGGACCTGGTTATGTAGGGTTGGAGGTTCAAAGGGAAAGCCTAATTAATTCAACTAATGTTTATTAAGCTCCTACTCTGTGCAAATCACTCTACTCTAGAGGAGCTTCCATAAGAGTGCAGGGTAAAGAAAGGAGATGGACAGTTATATGTAATTATATAAGCTTCGTTTACTTTGTTTCTCATGAAAAATCCCCTTTGGTACCCTGCTGATTGATTTGGAAGAAATCTGGTAGGTTTGTGGCCTTTGCTAAATTACACTAGGAAATTATGTAGTTAGAATATTTGGAACCTGCATTAGTTCCAGCAACGAAAGTAAGACACACAGCATATGACATAAGATACAGTGTGAAATAAATGAGTTTAAAAAGCATATGAGTCTTAGAAAATCTTTTATTTAATATAAAAATATTCTACCAGTCATGAAGAATGTATTATGATTTTATCATTTTGGGTTGATCAAAAACATTTGGGTTTACTAGGATATTAAACATTCACTTTATAACACTAAATAGTTAATGAAATAAACACAACACATTTTGCTTATCCAGTTTTGCACTCAAAAACCATTTGTATTGATACTCTTTTTCTTAAAATTGGTAGCTATCATGCAGAACATTGTTAAAATGAGAAATTTGCAATTACTAGAAAATCTTTTTTGACCTATTGATAGAGTATGGCAAAAATCATTGTTATCACGATTTGTTGTAAAGTTGTTTCAGAAACTGATGATCTGATGCAACAATTCTTTGAGAAAATCACTTATTTCTTTCCTTTCTGTATGCTGTTATTATACTTTTCTCCCTTTTCTGTCTAAACAGTGGATATATTTCATCCTCAGTGATAACCTTTAGTCCGAGAAATTTATGGTTTTTACAACATAAAATAGTGTCAGATAACTCATTTTATTCCTCTTTTTGGAGCCAATGTTTTTTGATCTGTACTGTCCTGCCTGTATTACACAGACAGAGGTGTGGTGACGCCTCTGACCCTCACAGTCTGGAAGACATCAGTCACCACAACTCCCGGTACTGGGTATTGGATTCACAAATTAACAGTGTCCACTGAACGTGTTTAAAAAGTATTGACTGGCTACAGATAATCTTATGGTAGTTAAATACAGCAGTTAAGAACATGGGTTTGGGGATCCAACATCCTGGTTTGAATCCTGGTGCCACCACTTATTGTGACTTTGGGGAAATTAACTTAATTTTTTGTTTTCAGTAAAATAGAATAATTAGATAATCGATTTCATAGTATTATGAGGCTTTAAAAAGGTTATACATATAAAGGACTTAAAAATATAAAGGACTAAATAAATGTTATTTGTTATTATAATGATATTGTTAAAAGTAGTAGGTGTGGCATAGTGGAAATAATCGGCTACATTTAAACCTCTATTGGTGAGACTAAGGACCAAAAATTGTTTTTGTGGCATGGTTTAAGATGATAGCCACCCTGATCTCTTCTGACCACGGATGATGGTGTGAGAGTCTTTTAGCAAAATCACTCGTTAAGTTACAGTATAACAGGTGATCAGTATAAGCAGGAGGGTTTGTTGTTTTCCAAATGATCTAGTCTGAAGAACATAAGGATCCACATTCACCTACCCGCGCTGGAGCCAGGAACCTGTCTGTCTGCCCTGGGCTAAGGGCTTGACCCACAGGGTGCACTGGGAGGAGGGAGTGGGACACTAAAGGTAAGGCCCAGGAGAAGCAAAAGGAATAGAAGGGACAGCTGAACCAAGACATGTCCTGATAGGAAAAGATAACAGAGTTTTGCACTATTCTTTGGACTTTGGCTGTGTTCACAAAAGGCTGAGACAGAGATGATTGTTCTACTAACAGATTTTATCTGCACGCCCTTCCTGATGTTGCTAGGCATTATGGGAGGATCACACTTATCTTTTGACTCTAGGTCCAATGCTGTGTACTTTGTATTCTACCATAAGGACCCTGGAAGAATCTTCTTATAGCCCCACAAATTCTTCTGTCTTGGTAACCACCTATAGGTGGGCCTGGCCCAGCTCTGCATACCACACACTGCTGTGACACATGGAGGCTGTTGGGTCTTGGAGCTACCTGGAACTAGGTGGCCCTGGCTTCTAGTAAGGCCACTGAGCTGCAACCTAAGGGATACAGGGTACTTATCACTCAGGAATAGACCAGGGTCATCTGGCCAGGACTCTGTCAATGAGCACCAATCCCAAAGCAAGAACAAAGCAACAAGGAGATATGAAAATAACACAAAACAACTGTTTTGTTCTTGGTAAAAATAGCCTGGGGAAAAGGGAAGAATCTTGGTGCGCACGTCATTTGGACTAACTGAGGTATCTTGGAATATATTGTGCAAACCATCATCTTATAACAAATTTTTATTGCTTAGAAAAAAAATTAATGGAAACAAGTTCTCCTTGAGTCAGGGCATAAAAATAATTTTATTCCAGCTTAACATAATGACCCTATTTATATTCAGGAGAGAAGGATAAGCAAAAGAGATCAATCATCAGAAAAGACTGGTAATCTATCCCCTCTGTGAATGAGTTTGCCCCCAGGAAGCTATGAAAAGAAGAGACAGCCTTAGAACTGTGGTCAGGCAGTGTATTTTCTTTTAAGGAAAAATAAAAATGTTCTTATTGGAATTCATGCAGCCACTTATTTGGTGAAGATGAAGATTTCTCAGTAATTTTTTTTTTTTCACATGGGGAAAACATTACTGAAATGTAATTCTACTTTTTATGAGGATGAAAATGATTTTTTAAAAAGCAATGAAAAAACAACACAGAACAAAAATCCATTTAATAAATGGGTACTAGGCATGTACACTGTGCCCAGCAGTGGGGCCGTGCTGGGCTGTCCTGTGCTGGATACTACAAGGGGTCTCAGAGGCGGTGAAGGCATGGTCCCTTCAAAGAGGCTTCCGATCTGGTCGTGCAAATAAGCCATGTACAGGCAACCAGTAATGATCTGTAATCATTAATCAGAAATAGCCGTTCCTCAGTGTGCCCATCCGAGTATCACTTGAGAGGCTGGAAAAACCTTGATTCTTGGACCGTGACCTCAGCTATTCTGACTTAGCAGGCATGGGGTGGGACTAGAAATTCCTATTATGAAATGCTGCTGTGATGATTCTGGTGCTCAGTTTGGGTGGCTGGACTGATAATGGATTCAGAGTAAGCTTGGGTTCTGATTCTGGTTCTATGCACGAGTAACAGTGTGGCCTTGATCGTGTTCCTGAATTCCCCTGACTTTCAGCATTTTCTTCTGTATCATGGGAGGGTGTTGCTGTTGGTGAGAATAAGGGAGTTGACACAAAGCCCTTCAGTCTCTGTGTTGTTTATAAGTTACTAAAAAATTAAGTGAACTTAAATTGTATATTAAAGAGGGGGTCCATTCTGTAGATATTATTTTCAATGTTTAGGCAACACTAGTAATCTCTTGTCCAAGAACCCCCAAATGTGTTCAGAAGAACATGCCTGTGTCACTTCCTCCCTCACTCATTTTTATTTTCTCTTTATTTCCATCCCATTCCTGTACCTCCGGTCCCACTTGTCTTGACCTCCTCAACTGCACAGAGCTTAGGTTCCAGTGTATGGGGCTGTTGAGGGCTATTTTGATAGCAGGTATGAGCAAGCTCCTGGGAACCCTGAAGGGTGAGGGACCGGAGGAGAGTCCAGGCAAGGGGCTTGCTCTACATACTGCCCCAAGAGAGCCTGGGAAGATCTGGTTGAGAAAAGTAGTGCTGCTCGGGTCTCTGCCTAAGGGAGTGGCTACACATTAGACTCACCCCCGCCTGATCCCACCCACATCAATTACATCAGGATCCACCAAGTCCCATCATTTTGAGTGGGAACTTCCAGTCTTGAGTCTTCTTCAGAAGACATTTTCTAGACCCTGTGATAGGAGAAGATTGACATTCCCTTCTGGGGATGGTCAGATGTCCCTTATTTGATCTAGCCGTATAAGTGACTTAGAAACAACTCTACTCTTCAGATTTAGTGGGATTAAAAATGTAATCAACCAATATTAAAATATTCAATAATCAGTTGGAACCAATGACAGTCATGTGCCGTGAACTGAGACAAGTGATTGATTTATTCCTCAGGAGCTGAGGAGAAAACCAAATGTTAAAGTGAGCAGTGATAGGCTGTTATGTAGTACAGTGCAACTCCTAAAACGGCAAAGAATAAAATTTGTCTTAAATTTAGCTGAGTTTTCTGTCTTTGCAAAAGAGACAATTTGGACAAAACTTGTGTTGCCCTTGAATTTCCCTCACCACTTCAGGGAAATCAAAAGAAGTCACATAATCGGTCAGAAAGAAATTGACGGAAGCATTTACTTCTGTTTCATTTCTTCGTTTTCTCCTTTTTTTTTCCCTTCAAGATTAGTATTAACATTAACATAACTGGGAATTCTTCTGTAGACATTTGCTTTTTGGCTAGCAATGTGGGGAGTAGGATGTGAAGGTGGATAAGAAGAGAGAAAGCAGCCATACATGAAATACAGAGCCCACCTGCAAGGCGGCAGTGTTTGAAGTCTTCTCAGATGGAGGCAGGCATGAGATATTTCATGTCTTCCCAAGTGGATAAAGAACGATTGATCTGTGAAAAATGCAGTCCTGAATGTAGAGAGTCATGATCCTAATTCTTCATTTCTTGGCCTCATCTGTTCCCTTTTAAATTTTGAAATTTGATTCATTTTTCATGCATGAATCCCTAAAGAAATGAGTTGTAACAGGCTTGTTTCATTAGGAACATTCTTTCTGGATGTGGAGTGCTGCTGCCACAGAGCATTTATTGTTTAATGAACAAATGGAGCAGACCAAACAATTGAAAACCAGTTAATAATTCAATTATGGCTTCTCCACTGCGAAAAATGTCTAATTTGTCATTCCCTAAAATGATTTCAATATTGCCAGAATCAGACTAAATTAGAACTCTACTCTGTGTCCCCTTCCCAAAGCTAGCAAATTTCTTTAATATTCATAAGTCAGGGTCAGCTTCTGAATTGCTGTAAACTTATGTAGAGGCTCAAAAACAGTTTTTTTTATAGACTCAGAAAAACACTGATGAAAGACATAAGGCAGCCTTTGACATTCAGTCTGGGACCTTTTAAAGAAAACATTCCGTGGAGATGCTAGAAAACCCAGGTTCTTGCCATATTACTTGATAGAAGTCACAAACGAATCTTTTAGAATTGTTTTCCCGCCAACTTGATGCAATTCACTCTTCTTTTGAGCCTAGAACTTCATTCGAACCTCTTAGATTTTGCCTTGTAATTGTGTATTTGTGTTGTACCCTTTGTTTGATTCTGGTCTGGGCATCCCCAGCATGTTAGTACATTGCTCACTATCGTGAATTTGTTTAAATGAATTAAGCTAGGAGGAGTTTACAGGCTGCCTGCATTGCCTCTGATTTGTAATTAGAGCAAAGTGGTGTTCACTAATAGGAGAGGAGGGACACCTGGTGGCAGTTGGGTACTTGAAGGGAAGGAGGTCCATTTGAAAGAAAGAAGGCAAGTGAGATGATAAAGTATGTGTGGAATATTGGAG